TCCAGGCCCAGAGACAAGGGGTCGTGAAGGGGTTCACAGCAGGCAGGGTTTGCCAGGATGGGACAAGACAACTTGTGGTTCAGGACCTCGAGGTGTGCTTGTGTTATCGAGCATGACATGTCTGCAGTCCGGTCCGTGGGCCGAGGGGCGAAAAGGGAATAAGAGCAACGCGAAGGAGAACGGACGAGGTGCAGTGATGGGACACGGATGCTGACTTACAGAAGAATATGGGTGGTGGGTAATATTCACCCAGGTCAGTCTCCCGACTTTACACGGTAGCTGCTGTTCCTTTCGAGAGGTGACGGGAACAACGCTTTGGCTCGGCTTTCCGCCTGACGCTTGACGTTGCACAAGAAGGAAATAGAGGTGAGCGTGAGGATAATGGTGGTGGTGGTGGTGGTGGTGGTGGAAAGGAGCTCTTGTCGATAGAAAGAGAAGGGAGGGGTCCAATACCAGGAAAAGATGGTGTGCTGATTTCTTGGTATTGCTACCGTACTTGGCACTGCTGATGCTTGCTTCCTGGTCTGCTTGCTTGCTGTGAAGTGCCCACTAGTATAGGTAGGCGGGATGGCGGATTGAAGTATTGGCGGTGACGCTCGAGAGTGCGTGAGAAAGTGCGACGGACGAAATGGGTTGCCGCCGGTTCGGACGGGTCGGAGACAGGTGGGATTCTTTGCTGCGGTGGCTGTCGGACCCTTTACAGTGACAGTCGACTGCTTGGATTTGAGCCAGTCAGATATGATATCCGCGACACAGGAGTGAAAGGAACAAGGGAGGTAGAGAAGAGCAAGTGAATGGATGCGATGCAAGGAGAGTGAACGGAAGAGGGCGGGGATGCCATGTATAATAAATGTGTGGCGGAAGAAGCGGCTGTGAGGCTGAGTCGTGGAATATAACTCAACGAGGGGGGTGAGGAAGGCTACATTATAAGGAAGGGGAAGGGGATTGGAGGATGCGCAAAGCAGTGTACCAACCTTGTTGAGGAGAAGGAGGAGAAGGAAAAGGGAGTGACCGAGTATGTCTTTCTCTCTGGATCTTCAACGCAAAAACACCGGGCGGTTAGTTTGAATAATGTCTGATGTGAAAGTGAAGTGGCGTTTACTCACTTGGATAGGTAGTTCCCGGGAAAGCGGTGCGGTTGACGTGCAGCGGTTTCTGGGGTCTCCTGTATTGTTGGTTGGGGGCGGTTTTTTGGGAGTGTTTGTTCCAGGTAGGACGAAATAATTCCTCCGTGGGGAATGCGGCCTGTGTGCGGGTACACCGTAAAGGTCCACAGGTGCAACTGGAGAGTTGGAGAAGCCTGCAGAGGAGAAAGGGCCAAGATGGGAGTCGGAAACCGGCTCGGAGTGGTAGTGAGCGGTGATCCCTGTCGATCGCTAGATGCGCGTCTTTTCGCACACTGCTAGGGCGAAGGTGAGTGAGGTTGGTGTTCGTAGCAAGGTAAGGTATATCAGGGTAGTGTCGTAGACACAGATGTGATTTCTTGCGCGGAAAAGCAGGGAACAAGACAGTGTCTTGAGCAAGATAGAAGAGGCAGGCAGGCAGAACGCGTTGCCTTAGGTTCTTTCCAACTTGGTTTGGAGAGGTAGGTACGGAGTACAGAGAATAGTACAGAGTACTTCTCTCTCGAAATAGGACCTACTGCGTAAGTGGGTTGATTGCTGTCGCTCCAAGCGTCGCCGTTATTTGCTGGCGCTGTAGGCAAAATTAGGTTTCGGCCTGCCGATGTCTGGAGCAAAGCTCCCGGTCGGTCCAGAAGCAAAGAAGGAACAGGGTCGTCGGCGAGACGGACTCAACGTGCTCTCCTCTGAGAAAAGACCGGAGTGAGAGCTCCCCGAATTGTCGACGCCGTTGCGCAGGGGTTTCGGACCCGGCGGCTTGGGAAATCTTGGATAACTCGCGCAAACGTATTCGGGATCACTAAGCAGTGACCAAGTTTACGTTCAAACGTTCCAACTTTCCAGAGAACCCGGGCGGTGATGTCCGACTGTGCGTAAGGTAGGTAGGTAGGTATTATCTACTTCGTACGTCCTGGTCTCTTTGCTCTACTATCCCAGCGTCTAGGTCGGTGTTGACAAGTTGCGATGGTGAGCCTGTATTGGTACGAATGAGAGCGTTCCTACTGTGTCTTGTATCGATGGTCTGTGCGTCGGTGAGTCGAGGTAAAGGTAAGGAACTTTGGGACCTCTGATGCATTGGTATTGGGTATTGGGTATTGGGTCCGGATCTCGGCTGGTTGTTTCTGTCCTCCCTTGTCAACTCTCGTTTCCCTCTTGGGTGCTGTCTGTTCTGTTTCGTTTGCCAACTCCCAGAACGGGGCATCTCCACCTACCTCCTCTTGATTTGTGTTTTCCCACGTAACTCGAGAGTCGAGATTCGGTCGTTTCTGTTGTTTGAGATTGTGTTTGCTCAATCGTTTCCTCTTCTCTTCTTTCCTCCTCCTTTCTCTCTCTCTCCCCGGTACAGAGGGAAACGCGCTAGCATTTATATCAAGGCCGCCTTCTATTAACAGACACTACTCCGTATATCATCTGGATGAGGCTTGTCACTTCACTTGCATCTCCTGACTCGTCCCATATTCCGGGGGTGGCACCCCCATTCTATCCTCACCGGGACGTTTTGCCAGCCTCTTGGTCCGAGTCGGGATGAGATGGAGGGCAGCCCGGACCCCGTGATGCCTCCAAGTCAGACGGCTAAGACAACTAACCCACCTACTGGACCCGCGCCGGCCGCGACGACTCACGACGCTCATCGGGACCTGCTTAAGGATCGGCAGGAATAAGGTGGTCATGCACTTGAAATGTCTGGCTTTCCCTCAAAAGAAGACATCACGAACTCATCTAAAACTGGGCTGCTCCATGGCTCCTAGACTGCCCGGCCAGGAACCCGAGGCCAGAAACGCCCCAGAATGCCCTTGGCTTAGATATGGGATTCTGTCTCATTTCGCATTGCCTTGTTTAGAAACCAATTTTCGATTCACCCCGCAGAACACCTTACCCATGGCGCTCATGGTCCATGGCCGGCTTGACTTCTAGTTGGACGACGTAGCTCTGGAGCCCTGCGCGAACCCCGCCAGCAAACACATTCTCACTAGGAGAAGCCTTGTCGACGCCCAAGATGTCGGCTTGTTGGCATTCAGTTCAGGCATGGAAGGGAGAGCTCTTATCCGCGAATCTGAGATATCACACCAGGTCGATACAAGACTTGTGTGTGCCAGAAGCTTGGAAACTCGCGACATCTGGAACGGGTGCAAACATCTTCACCGCCTCCAACCTTTGCCTTATCGCCTTCTGCCTTGACTATAACTCGCTTAACAGAAAGACAAAGAGCCTGACCGCCGTCTTGTCGCATACATTGATATCTTGGGTATATCCCGTTTGGGGTAGCACACACACATGCACACACACACCCTCATGCCTCTGTCTGGCAAGCACCTTAGACAATCGAGAGGCCGCCGCCGTGATGTCAAGCACCACTCTCGAGCCTTGTCCCCTGTGGCGTACACATACTGTGTGTAACTTGGGCTCTTGACGCAAGATACATGCGAACTTGGTTCAACATCTGAAGAGTATCGTGATTAGATGGGCGGCGCCAGCGGCAGTGACAAATATCCCAAACATTGTCTCCCAAGCGTTCTACTCCTCTTCAGATCATCACCACCACCATTACGGCATAATAGGACGAATATCTGCTGGGAAAACCCACCCCTGGCCAAGATGTGATCGCCCGCTCCGCAGTGAGTGCCGGCGGCAATCCTACCCCAAGTGGCCTTCACCTACTCGATGCGGCCTCGACTTTCCCCCTCCTGCACGGCTACCAGCAGCAAGTCTCAGAGCTGCAGCCGCACTGTATCAACGACGTAGAAGATGGTAAACCTGTCAGAATCGCGGTTCTTGCGCCAATGTAAAGGTTGCAAAGCGCCTCTGGAAGGTCGGGTTGGGTGTGGAGTAGGGGAAGGCTTCCAATCATGTGCTGCCGATTAAGGATAAGAATGACCTTGTGGACCCACCCAGACTCTGAGGAAATGAAACTGGATGTTCTCAAGTGTGTCGAGGTCTCAAGGTGAGTGTGTGGTGAGGTGCTGGACCAGAAATTCGATAACGCTGGTGGCTGTGTTGGTTGGCTGAAAGACCGGGTTTCGGGGGATCATGGGTACGTACTTCCAGCCGACAGGTGGTCTGTGTGTCCGGGGAAGGATGCAGCCGCTGATTGGCCGAATTCAACCGCACCTGGTACACCTGCGCTGCTTCGCTCTGAGACATTCTCAAGCTCACCCTGCCTTGCTTCCTCTGCCAGACTGCCTCTCTCTCAACCTCCGTCCCGTTCCATCACCTCCCCACCCCCTTCATCAAGCTATCAACCTCGTGTACCAGCCGCCTTAGCCCCCCTCCATCCTCAGGCCGTTCGCCGTTTGCCTTTTCGCCTTCGCCTTCGCCTTCGTCTTTGCGTCTGCCTCTGAGACTTACGTTATTACGACACGGTGCGGTACGCGCGGACACTAGGCCACCACCAAGAGATCAAGACCAGCCTACGTCGCATCACAAACCGAACAGGTGGTCTCTCAATAGCCCACCTTCTTGTGCACATTTAATCGTATGCGCCTTCCGACCCTCCCCCTCCATCATGGGCCATGACCCTGTATATCAACCAAGCTGACCATCTTGGCTGTGGAGAAGCAGCTCAACACCCGTCTTCCTAACGCTCATCTGCCGCGCTATACCAGTCATCTACTCCCGTGCTCTCCCAGCACCCTCGACGGAGGCCACCCCGAAATCGCTCTCCACCCAATAGCAGCCTTTCCGCAACTCGACTCCGAGCGGACTGCCCCCGATACTGTCAAGGGCCGCCTGTCACTTGACCACATACTGCTCGACGCACAGAGAGGACGCTCCCGCTCTTGCGTGCATCTTTTGCTATTTATCTGGTTTCCGCGGGAGTAACGACACCTGCGTCTAGCACGTCATAGTTGCATCTCTCGGCTCCCATATCCCACCGTTACGATGGCGTCCGCTTCTTTCAGAGACTCGATGAACTCACTGGGTTGGTCAAGACGGGACCAGGACGTGCCCGTCAATACGGCGCAACAGTCCGGTCTCATGTCTTCGATCAAGTCCCTTAACCCCTTTGGAAACAACAGCTATATCCAGCTCCCAACAACCGAGGGCGCCGGCGCGCCTCTGCCTGCTGCCAACAGGAGGGAAGAGGAGGAGGGCTTCGCAACGCGTGAGTCATTTCGTCTGTATGCTTTCGCCGTCCCACCACCTCTGGCAGCTTCATCCTTGAGCTTCCAGCTCCCCTGCAACTGGCATGGCCTCTAGTTGTGGATTTCCCATGTCTCGGATTGCCATGTGAGCAGGCGGGTTTACGAGGTGGTGTTGTCGTGTCCGCTTCATCTTCTCCGGAACAGCCATGCTAACGTTGTATATTCCACTTCCAGTGAGTCGATGGGATCGTTTACTCATTTTTGGTGCCTGCAACCTGGGCGCCCTTGCCTGCTTCGTCATCTGCTTCGCCTTGTTCCCGGTAGTAGCGGTGCGGCCGCGCAAGTTTGTGATTCTGTGAGTTTCCTCGCTCCCTTTTCTCTCCAATCTCTGCCCTTTGCCTCGTCGTAAGCGATTCTGCTCTCTTCCGTGCTTCTGTGGAGGATCACCCCACGGGTGCTTATCAACCCGGCTAGTTGCCGGCGCGGCAGATCGACAAAGGTGTGTTTGGATCGGTACCTATTATGCCGTACCCGAATGTAGCCTTGCCCCTCTCTATCTACCCGCCTTTCATGCCAGATGATCTTGCATGGCGAGCTAGTTATGAACACCTTATCCGGTGATCGAACGGCGTGATGAGGACTCTCGGAGGGCTTAGCGTTGATACGGCGTTCGCGTTCGCCATCTTCGAGTTGCGTACCTGTTGCTAACATTCTCATTTTCCAGATGGACACTTGGCTCCCTCCTGTTCCTGGCGTCCTTCGCGGCCGTCATGGGCCCGATGGCGTACGTGAAACACCTTGTCTCCGGCCAGCGTTTGCCTTTCACTGCTGCCTACTTCGGATCGCTTGGGCTTTCCATGTACTTCTCTCTCGGTGTAAGTTCCATGACGTTGTCATCATTACGAGGCGAAAGCACGCCGGCTGACTCCGACATAGCTTCACAGCACCATTTTGACCTTGATCTCGGCTGTCATCCAACTGGCTTGCCTTGTTTGGTACCTAGTCAGCTACTTCCCCATGGGCTCGAGTGGACTGCGCCTGGCCACCACGTTTGGCGCCAGAAGGGCTGCTGCCTGGATGACGGGCTGAGCTTGGAGCTCTCATGTACACCTTGTAAGATGAAGACGAAAAATGATTATGGATGATTGTACCACGGTAGCTAGTCGGCATTGTTCTTCATGTTTGCATACAGAGTGGGCAAAAAAAAGTATCGAAATAAGGCAGATGTCGAAATGTGGTTCACGTAAATGTACCAGGTAGTCGGGGCGTTCGGCTGCACTCTTGGCCGCTCTCACTCGCCATTAATAAGAGAGGCCATGACTTTGTCTTGAATCGATCTCTCGGACCCGGTATGATATTCTGTGTTCCGCCCACGATCATCTTATTTTGTTCTCCGTCTAGGATCTGAGTCCCATCTACAGCCTTTCTCTCCGTCTTACGTCGCCAACTCCTCTACAGTGACAGGACATCAACTCTCTTCCAGTGAGGAGTCCTTACACTCTCGAAGCAACCCGGCATCGTTTGATCACATACCTAAGTTCAACTAGGGGCACCGTGTTCCTTCAGGGGCTAAGTTTCCTCTTCGGCTTGGAGCTTCCTTTTATGCCCGGTGGATTTCTGTCTCGGTCAAGATATTCGAGGTTGTGAACCATCTCGATCGTTCGTCGTGACTTATTACAATGGCCAAGAAGTAGCGCATAAACTTCTGCTGGCTTCAACAGTATGCTCAAGAACTGCCTTTGTTTTTCTCTCTGCCGGGTGCTTCTTGAATGATGGCCATCGAGTGACGATCTCTCCACATCGAAAAGACGTATGTTCTTGTTCTGACTTGAGTTGACCATCAAATCTGAACGCGAGGACTGGTCACTTGCTGGCTATACACACCCACCTCGCACGGTAGCAGTCTCGGTGGAAAGTCGTGGGACTAAGCTGGGAGTGAGCTTCACTTGCACATCTTGACTCTCGACTTGAAAGATAAGGAACTACGTAGCATTTTAGAAACATCGCAAAATTCCGGGCATACAAGATTCCGGCTCTTCATCAGATGTATCCCGTACTACTGATTGGAGGTCTTTAGGCGCCGTGTGTGTGAATGCCCCTTCTGTTTTTTTTTTTTTTTTGTATTCTCCTTTTTTTCTTTTTTTCTTCGTCAAGTGTCTCTGGACAGCTCGGCCCCACAATGATCGACGGATTAGCCTGTGCCGAGAACCCTGAGGAAAGGACATGGCGTGGTGATTTCCGTATCTCTTTCCATCTCTCAAGTGATACTTCCAGTGCTCAGGGGTACCCTGAATTGGTCTTATCAAATCCCGCTGTTGGTTTCATTGCAAGGCTGAGAAAAATGGTAATTAGAGGCCGAGAGAGAGGCTCTCACGGGGTATGGAAAAGTCACCGAAAGAGTATCCACTTCGGACGGTGGATCCCGGCACGGCCAGGAAGGCTCGGAAGGCGAGTCAGTCCACTTCATTCGAGAAAAAGAGATAACTGTCCAAGGGTCCCGGTGGAGAAGCACTCATTGTGAAATGGGATCCTGGGAGGCTGGGAAGCTTCGCCGAAGAGGGAAGTGGGAAATAACAGGTTGTTGGCCGAAATTCCCGTGTTCAGGCGCGTGTGCGCAAACCCTCTTAGATGAGCTTTTTCGATGAGACTAGGTTACGAGGCACGACAACTCCTGTGCCCTGTCTATCAACATCGAATATTCAATATACCAGACGGCGAGACTCACTGTCGTTAACGCGAGTCCCACTTGGCTTTCCCTGCAAAAAGTTGTTCCGAACGGGCTCCTTCCGAAGGATGCCGGGTAAGATCATCCAGCTTTCTGCATCAAACTGTGCCCTTTACGCCATTCGAGCGGTGGCTGGAGGTCGAGACAGTATAAGCAAAGGTGTCTAGCCAGTGTGGCTGGCCTGAATCGTTTTTGACAGCCTGCACAGGGCTTGCTAAGCCTTTTCGGCTCTAGACAGACGAGGGCACAATGCATTGGATTACTAGGCTGCGCTATGTCGGGTGAACCACGAACGCGTAACTTTGTATCAAAGGTGTGGGCCGGGTTGTTGTTCGAAAAAAGAAAAATCAGATTATACCAAAATGAAGAAGACGATGGAAAGAATTCGACCGGGGTCGGGAATTGCCCACCGCGTTTCAGTAGGCGACTGGACATGGCAAATCGTCGTCCTTGATATTGCCAATATCGACCTCAAAGGCGTCGATGATGAATGACAAAGGCAGCCAATGCGATCAACGTGAGAGAGGTGGTCATCGCAACTGATATGGCCGAGGATTCGACAGATCAAACCGTGGCATATTACTATGTACGCCCGCCTCCAGTGCATAAAAGGGCCCGGAAGTCGTTCCGAAAACAAAGCGTTCAAAGAAGGTCGGCCGAAGGTGGATGACCAAGAACACGCTCTGTGGCGGTGTGTGTGTGGCACAGCGATGCGGCGTATTCGTACTTGTAGATAGTAAGGTAGATTCAGTTGACGCTCGTGGGACAAGGGCTTCAAAGTAAAGTATAACGTCAGATGGGGGGCGCGGTTATGTAATCCACATTCTGGAGTTTGAACAGCAAGAAATGTAGGCGCGCTCACCGTTCCCCTCTTTAGTGCTGGCCATGGAGATTCAGAGGATTGGATGCAACGCAGACTGCAGAGGAGATGCGGTCCAACCGGCCATCATTGCAAAAGAGAGGAATTGTGCGTGGGCTGTGAATATGCAAATGGAGAAGATTCCAAGAGTCAAGCGGGCTTCTCAGTCTTCATTTTCTCCGCGTCAAGGTACGTACCGATGTAGCCAATGGCGCCTGCCATTCGAAAGGTAACTGGAAAGTGCATACCGCCTCGACGCACCTGCCTTACTTTGGATATAACAACTGGAATTCGCAAAGAGTCCCTTTTAGGTAATTTGCAACTTCTACGAGAACGCTGATGTGTTAAGGTAGTAATGGCAAGACGAGGAATTGCCCTCCCTCGAAGGGCCCAGCTACCCACTTACATAGGTCTGACTTGCAACAGAGTCGAAACCATCCATCTGCCCGCTCGAGCGGAAGGTGCGGTGCATTTCGGCGCTGTGAGGTGCGTCTGTACATCGACAACAGCGCTCTGCGACATACGATACAAGCGACACGGGCGAATAAGCCTCAAGCTGAAGGATCATCACACAAAAAGGCACATGATAAAAATGAGAGAAATTGCCTTGGCCTGGTGAACAACCGACTTATATTCGCGCAACCCCACCAAAGCCGACAAGGGACCGGAGGGGAATGGATGGGATGGGCACGCATGCAGAAGGTCGCAGCCAGCAGGAAGAAGAAGCAGGAGCAGAAGCGGGCAGACCACTTCCGGGGTAGATACGGATAAAGGAGTTGGGAAGGTAGGCGAAAAAATAATCCAATGACCACAAAAAGGTAGAGAGATCCTAGGATTCGGTTTGATGCAAAGCGAGGTGGTGACTACGCAAAGACTAACACTTACAGGCTACCCGTGCTACCGTGGTGGAGGCCATTGACCAGAAGAGGAGAGGAGGGAGGGGTAATTTGGTATATGTTTTTTATTTTGTTTTTTGTTTTGTCCCCCTTTCGTCCAAGTACTGTCCTTTGAACGTGTGTTTTCCTTACACAACCCAACCTTTTCTGACTTACACCGAGGTCATGATCCAATGATGGGCTGCCTTCACCACCAATCTTTGTGTCATGCCGGTCCCGTCGGTGCGTCTTGCTTCCTGCTTCCTGCTTGTCACGCCTGTGCCCTGTTGTTGCTACCTTGCCTTGCCTTAGTGTAAGGTATCCGTACCCCGTAAGGTAAGGTAAGGTAAGGTATGTAATAATCAGTGCCTTGCTTGTCTACCCTGCCCTGCCGGGTCGGAGCGATGGGCAATTTCTGCCGTTGCCGGCCACTTTAAGCCTACCCATGTCGTCGGAAGCCTTGAGTATCCGCGTTTCCTGACTGGTCCAGGTCTCGCGAGGTACCATGCCTTAGTCCCTTCCAGCGGCCTCACGGCCTCAGGTAGGAAATATTTCGGCCACCGCCCGCCCCGTCAAAGACAAGACTGGAGCACCTGGACGCCCCAACCCACGTCAGTCGGTGGTGACCCCTCCATCCTCGGCCTCCTGCGCGCTCTCCCACTTCGACCGTGAGGCACCTCACCTTACTGTGGTAGGTAGGTAGGTCGGTTTGCTCCCGTCCCGTCCTTTCATTCCCATTGCTCACAGCACATCGCCTGAGACATGGACCTATTGGATGCTCTGGATGAATGAGACTTTCAAATTGCCTACCTACCTACCTCACCTTACCACCTACCTCTTCGTCTTCCTATACGCTAGGTGTCTTGTAATAAAGTCTGATGAATGGTTGGGCGTGTCTTCTATGAGATGAGGTGGTGCATGCCCTGCTTCACCGACAATGACCTGCGTCCAACCTGCCTGACATCAGTGTGTAAGGTAAGCCTAGGTACGCCTGTAAGGTAAATGCCCTGAGATGAATCACCAAGGTACTCCCGTACATGGAAACCCGCGGATGAAGCACCTCCCGCATCTCAGTGAATTGTCAGTGCCTTGGGGTCCCTTCCCTCAACCCCAAACCTCCAGGTCCCAGTCAGTCACCAAAGAATTCCAATCACCCGCTGTGCCAGCGTCCCTTCCCCCCCCCTCCCCGCTAAAAAGTCAGGTCAACCAAGCTGCCTCCACCTTTTACCTCAAGTGCCAACCTGGTAGTGGCTTTCCCGAGAAGAAAAAAATTCATTCACAAAAAAAAAAACTCGGGCCTCAGATTTTATTCCTGGGCCTTTTTCTCCTCCTCTCCCACAACCACACATATCTCTCTCTCTCTCTATCCCTCTCCTCCACAAACCTTGCCCTACCGGTATCCTTGTGGTCATTCTTCCTCTGTTCACTCGTCCTGCTCGGTCGATACCTTTCTGTTCGCCAATTTTACAATAGCGGACATTTCGTACACGACCAGCGAGACCCCTCAGGCCAATAACCAAGCCCTCCTCCAATCGAAGCCTTGCGTTTACCGTCTTCCACGTTTTCTTTGGATCGCCGCAGCCCGAGCATCTCCGGAACGTCTCGCCTCGCTTGCCTCTCGCAACCCAAAAAAAACACACTCCGTTGACGTGCCTTCAACCCACCTCCCCCCTTTTCGTTTACGAGGAACACAGCTTCCACCGCACCTCATACCATCTCGTTCGCGCACTCGATCCTACTGATTCGTCAGTCCTCGCGTGCCTTCGTCCTAAGCTCGTTTCCGCACTCGCCCCGAAAAAAACTCTAGCCACCTTCCGGCTTCACTGGACCAGCAGCACCTGCTCGTCCCGACATTCTTGCGTTTACCTCAATCTTTGACGGCTTTCGACGACGTCAACCGGCTCCTGATTCCTTTCACGGCACCTCAGGCCGCCGACCGACTCATTCTTCGGACCACGCGGAGAGGTTTGGTTCGCCCTCTCCGGTCTGTCTCCGTCTCAGGAGTTGCTGGTAAACCTCGGTTTACCCAATAGCAGGATACACAACAGCCCGTTCGCGGCTACTACCTCAGGGCCTGGCAGGATTAGATCAGTTGATCATCTTCCCTGGTCCCTTATACCCAATAGTCTTTCGAGGCATGCCTATTTCTGCATCAGACCTAGCATCAGACACGATGGCTACTGCATTTTCTTACGCTCAAGCCGCCAAGGGTCAGGCGGCCACAACACCCGCGGCCCAGACCACCGAGAACGGCAAGGACTCCGCGAGCTCAGTAAATGGCGAACAACCGGCTGCCGAGCCCACCGCTGTCAAGAGCACCGACTCCGTTGACGACGAGTCCTCGAGAAATACCCCTCTCAAGGCCCAACTGGCTGCCAAGCAGGACATTTCCTCTGCCCAAGCAGAGGCCAACAGCACGAACACACCATCTGCCGCCGCTTCCGTCACCGACTCGCGACGCGATGACGAGGAGGCCGTTACCGAAGCCTCTGCCCGCCGAAGTGAGAAGAGTGTGAGGTCGGCAAGCGCATCTACTCGCGTGACTGACGAGGCCGAGCCGAAGAAGGGCTCTAGGAAGCCGAGAAAGGGCAAGGCCGGAAAAGAGTCAAGTGAGGATGCGAAGAAGGAGAAGGCCGCAGAGCCGGAGAAGGAGGAGCCCAAGATTGAGCTCGTTGAGGCGCCGCTTCCTTCGGTCAACATCTGGACCCAGCGCAAGGAGACTGCGGCTCACAAGACCTCTGTCACCTTGCCCACCGCCAATGGTGCTACCAGTGCATCTACCCCAGTTGACACCTGGCCCAACAGCCAGGAGTCCAAGAAGAAGAACAAGTCCGCTGACGGCGCTGAAGCCACCAACGGCACTGCTGCCGGCAAGTCTCAACGCAAGGCTGGCGATGGTGACGCCGCCGCCAGAAGAAACGGTGCTCGCGGCTCAAGGCTTATTGAGAGAGATAGCCGACTGACTGAGGTCCCTCCCCCTGTTGGCGACGTTCACTCATGGCCTACGCCTGAGACGGCGGTCAAGGAGATTGTCAAGGAGGAGAAGCGCAAGCCTTCCGAGAAGGTTGAGCGGGTAGAGGTCGAGGCCCAGGATGATGCCGGCGCCAAGGGACGTTCAAAAGACAAGTGGGAGCGTATGGACTTTGTCCCTACTGTCCAGTTCTCCACCCCCATCCCCTCAGTTAGAGGCTCTCGGGGAGGACGAGGTGGTGCTCGTGGCGGACGCGACGTTACTTCTCGTGGCGGTCACGGTGCTGCTGCTGCTGCTGCTGCCTCTGCTGACAAGCCGGCCAGCACTGCTGCCCCTACCAAGGCTGGAAACGAAGCTCGGGACCGCGCTCGCGACGGTAACGCTCCGGCCAGAGCCAACTCTCAGCCCCCTGTTGCGAACAAGCGGGCCTCAATGGAAGCCTCCAACGGCAAGGAGCAACGCAAGCCCACGGCGCCCCACTCTGGCGAGCGCAACAAGGAGTCGCAGTCAAATGCCACCAATGTAAGTTGATTTCCTCCTGGATTATCCTGCGATACCGGCTACAACATGTATGCTAACCCATGGAAAGGAGCAGGCCGGTCCTGTCAGAGAGAGAGGCGAAGGCCGCGGCGATAGGGGCCGTGGCGGATACCGAGGCCGCGGAGGTCACCCTGGAAACATGCCCATGCACACTCAGCAGTCTTCTTACATGTCTAACGGCAACTCCTTCGGCTCCCAAGGCCCCAGACAGTACGCCAGCCCTCCCCTCCACCAGGGCGGCAGCTTCCAATCCTCTTACGGAGGTTCCCAGTCCCGCGGTGGTCGTGGCGGCCGCGGTCAGTCAAATGGCTCTGGAGCGTTCCGCGGTGCTGGTGGCCCTTCGAACTCTGGCCGTATGCGTCAAGTTCAGACCAACATGAACCAGGTCTCCTGGGATTACGGAGTTCCCATGACTCCGGGTTCTTATGCCGCATTCTACGAGCAAACGAGACATATCATGATCCCTCAGATGGAGTACTACTTCTCCGTCGAGAACCTCCTGAAGGATACCTACCTGCGCAAGAACATGGACAGCCAGGGTTTCGTGCCCTTGGAGCTTGTCCTCGGCTTCCAAAGGGTTCGTTCGGTGGCCGATGCCCAGACTCTGCGCGCAATTATTGCCGAGTGCCCCCAGCTGGATTACGTTGTCGGCGACGATGGCATTGAGAGACTGAGATCTCGTACCCACTGGCAAAAGTTCGTCTACCCTAACATGGAGCTGCGCTTCGATGCTGCCCGCAACGAGGGACCTCAGTACTTCTACCCCCGTTCCCTTCACGCCATCGCTCACTACGACCACGGCATGCTCGGCGACTACCCTGTTATCTCGCCGACTGCTGCCTACCCCAATGGTGCCGAGAATACCTACGTCGCCTACCCCACCGAGGCTCAGGGTGGACAGCCGAACGGCACTGTGAACGGCAATGCTGCCGAGACACAGCTGTCTGCTCAAGTCCCCGAATTCCAGCCCGGTCCCGCATCCGAGCAAACGGCCGAGGCCTCGGCGGAGACGGAGAAGGCCCAGCCCCTCGTCAATGGCTCTGCCCACACAGAGAGCGCACCCTTGACGAACGGAAACCACGCTCAGCCTGCTGAAGCCCTCCAGTCCTAGTTGGACGAAGGCATTGTCGTGGGCTGTGGCAGCGAGGCGGCAGCATCAGGATGTGGTGACGACAGCAGCAACTTGTCGAGTCCTTCGCAACGCGCACACTTGCTGATGCGCTTTCGAGGGGAGAACTCGGTTGCAGAGTCTCCCATCGACGACATCCCGTTCCCTGAGTTCCGTCTGCGCGCGCTCTCCCAACGGCAAGATACTTTAGCCGGGGAAATTCCCGGCGACATGAAATCCCTTTATCGGTTCTGGTCTCATTTCTTGGTCCGGCATTTTGATTTGGAGATGTTTGAGGAGTTTCGGGCATATGCAGTGGCGGACGCCACTGGGGGAACCATCAACACAACTGGCCTCAAGCACTTGATTGCATACTATGAAGCGGTCTTACAAGAGGACAAAAAATACCCTCTGGACAATCTGGAGTCGCTCTATGGAGAAGCGAAAAGGCTAGCTGCGACAGCCGAGACCCCTTGAGAGGTGGCATCTGGGTCGATTACAATGACGAGGATGTCTTACGAATTGGGCAACTCTTGTTGGAATTTTTTCCACAACAAGCTGCGATAGACCCACCTAGGTTGCGGTCGCTCGATTCTCCGTCTTGGTCAATTTCACCGAGCGCATATTCCCAGTATCGTTGAATCTGCGACGTTTTTTGGGGGTCATTCGGGACGAGGTCGCATTTGTTGTCGTCTTCGAATGGTTGGAAAAGTTATCTGCTTCTTTCTCACAAAGGGGGATGGGCCGCAGCACAGAGAGATATGCTACCAGGTGGTCAGCGACATACCCATGGGAGGTTTGATTCGGAATTAATTGGGACGGGGGGAATAATCAGAGGCAAAAAAATGAGGCAAAGAGGAAGGCTTCGCCCCTCTTGCGTTGGAATGTAGAAGCTTCGTCTCAAAGACAGCTTCGGACACGGGTTGATGAAAGTCTCTTCTCCGGCGTAACTCGGCATACAGGTCCGAGATGACAAGTCATGGATCGGTCTTACTTTCATTTGGCGGTTTCTCCTCATTATGGATGGATTTTGAAGTTCCTCCTTTCTCTCCCCTCGCCTCATTGCTAGACGAAGAAAAAAGTTTTCTTCCTCTTTTTTTACCTTTTTTTTTTTTACTGCACATAGCTTCTGCATGCTTTATTCTGGGAAAACACAAACAGGGAAACAGGGGAAGGTTTATGGGCATGAAATGCATTCGAGCGGTCACAAGAAATTGGAGGCAATGGTCCATGGTGTTCTACTAGACTTTTTCCTCTTTCTTCTGTTCCCTTCCTTCCTTCATTCGCTCATGAGCACACACGGGGGTTGGGGGGTAAGGGAAAGAAAGAGACGGCATCATCAGGCAAAATCAGTCGAGCTGATGCTGTATTGCATGAATAGGACCTCTTAAAAATGAATAAATCGGAGTATATGGCGTTCACATGGTGTAACTTGAAGTCGTGTCGCGTCGTTGTGGGTGAGTTCATCGCGGAAGAGGCGCTGTCTTCCTCCTCCCTGGCTGGGCTGTAGAGCAGTGGGTCGAACATCCCTTGAAACCAGACACTGGCAGTTGATTTATCCACTCTAGCTGTGGCGACACACCCCCTACAAGTCAACTCTCGATATATGTGAACAGGGTGGTGGAGGAGGGGAAGCGACATGTTGCTCCTCCTGCATGGTGGTCTCCAACGATATCTTCGACCTCAGACCCTCGAACCACCACATACGACCATACCCATTGGAAAACTCGGGATCCCGTCCGCTCTCCCATAGATAAGCCAATGAGGGCCGGATTAGTAGTTGGGTCGGTGACGACCAGCGAATAACTGGTGTTGTATGTTTTTGATTTTTGGTGGGCTTTTGCATGGTGGTACGAAGGCTGTGGACATGGATATCACGATCTCCCAGCGGCGGTTGGGGACGGTGGTGTTTGGTTGGGGAGTCGTGAGGTGTCATGCGGGGTAGGCAAGTTGCTGTTCTCAACTATTCAAGGGATTGAAATGTGATCCTACCACGGATGTCGTCGTTTACTTTTGATGGAACGGCCTCTTCGAGGTCGCGAAGTTGCTGGTGCGTGATCCTTTTCCAGCACTCCAACCGCAGGATCTAGGTATCGACGTTGACTTGTGTATATAACCCATGTATGCCTCTTGATCGTCGGGCAATGTCTACTGACTCGCTGGAGTATACTTTTCCATGAGTGTTATTACAGTTGTACGAGTTTGTCAATGCCCAGTCCTAGTCTGGCACTTTATCAACGGGTATTGTCACCGAGAAGAGGAAAGGACGATCACGACGAGAGCTCCCTCTTATTGTCAGCATGTAGCCTTTACGTAATTGGGATTCTTATTATTTGAAAGCCCATGTTTGTCTTCTTTAGACAGACACGAATTACCAATTTCTTTCCCAAACGGTGTGGGCGAGGCGCCCGCCCACTTCGAAACCGACCCCCTATCCATCATATGACTTTGAGAGAAACGCTTTACATGTCGGTAAATCCGAGAAACTGATAAGAATTGTTGGGGGAAAATAGGTTGGATAGGGTATAACAAAAGGCTCTTCTTCATCTGTTACGCACGTGTTGGTGCCCGGGCGTCTGCATGGTGAAGTTGGATGTCGGAACTATTTCCTCCTCCTCATGTGTCACTGTCGATGATTGTTGAAACTCGAGTACCTATTCAGGCGCCGGATCCACTTCCTGCTAGCTAGCTACTTTGCTTGGATAGGGACTCAGCAAGCAATTGCTATCCAGGCGGTAGATTCATATCTCGGAGGGAACCTACACGTAGCTCATGAAACGTGAGTGGTTGTATCCAGCTCGTTCGCAGCTTTTATATTCTAGCTGGTAGAGCTTGTATTCTCGCACACCAATGATACTTACATGACTTCTTTTAAGGAACGATGTGATGATTGCGAAGCGCCCAGCCGTGAGAACTGAAGTAGGCTTCTGTCGTCTCTGAAGGGACCATTGCTGGACCTCCGAGATATCTTCACGCTCAAGCTAGGTTCTTTACTTGCTCCTGTAGATCACGGAACCGTGAGCAGGTAGAACACCCGGCCGCATAGAAACAACAGGGCCAAAATCCAGAGGCTCATACCAATACATGCAGAAAATGCCCTGGCACGCTTGAGTGACGTGAAAGAGAAGATGAGTTTGGGCTTATCATGCCCCACTCGAAGTTTCACGAAACGCGAACAAAAGACTCGGATGAAATATGTCGGGAAAGTCATGCCATATTACTCATTATTACATAACCATCCTAATCTCAAGTCTCGCCATCTGCCGTTTCGACAGAAGTAGAGAACCAAGAAGAGAAGGGAATTAGACCGAGAAAAAGTCATTATCTACAAGTTCTTCATGCCGTTTGCCTCATTATTCAGACCGTTTACTGCGTTTCGCTCAAGATTCGTCACTCATCCCACTTAGAAGGCCATGACGAGACCGACAACACCGGCGGCAACAGCAACGAGGCCGTGAACCATGGCGGTCGGGGCGGCGTTGGGGGCCTCGGTGGAGGAGGGTGCGGCAGAGCCAGTTGCGGAGCCGGAGGCGTCAGTGGCGGAAGCGCCGCTGGACTCAGACGCACCGCTCTCAGTTGCGGAGGCGGACTCGGACGCACCGGTGGTACTGTCGAAAAGTGTTAGGATACATGTGAGTTGATGGCAGGATATGGGGAAAACTTACGCAGCAGTTCCAGTGGCGGACTCGGATGCGGTGTTCAGGACAGTGGAGGTGAAGGCGCTGCCAGCAGAGTCGGTGCCGGTGACGACGCTGGGGGAGAGCGTGGGTACGACGTCGGTGGTGATTGTGGTCGGGACGGGGGTGACGGTGGTAGAGATCTCGGTGGTGATGGTGCTGCCGTCCGAGTTGGTGGTGGTGACGGCGATGACGGTGGGCACGGGGGTGCCGGCCGGGGCAGCAGTGGGGCGGAGGCTCTCAATGGCGGACTCGAGAGCGCCGTACTGGCTGGTGTACTGCGTCGGGATGGCCGCGGAGAACCAGTCCGGGGTGCTAGTGGCCTTGAGGACAGAGTAGATGTAGGACTTGAGATTCCCGGTGACGCTGGCGGCGCTAGCGGCGGAGCCGAAGGCCGAGGTCAGGGAGTCCCACTGGTCAGTGGGAATGTAGGCCGAGATGAGAGCATCGGCGGCGGCAGTGAAGGCCGGGGCGTCAGAGCTGCGAGGGCTGTGTTAGTATGTGTCCAGCTAGCTCCGAAGCTCCCCTTGAGCTATCTTTTAGATCCCGAGCGGGAGAAGCTGTGTGTCTTACACTTGGCGCGCGTCGATGGGGTTGGCAACAGCCAGCTTGGCGGCAATGGCCAGAGGAATGATGGCAGACTTCATATTGTTTGTTGGTTGAGGGGATGGGTATCACAGGTCTGTTGAGGACAAGGCGGCAGAAGTTCTTGCGGAGGGGGGGTATCACGGGCTGGCTGAAGCAAACAAAAGCGGATGGGAGGGAAAGAGAGTGAACTACGGGACACAGCTTCGGAGGGTGGATGAATGATTTAAATAACAGACGAGAAATCGTGGTGATGCAGTCAAGAAACAAATGACGCCGTACGCGGTGAAGCTGGCGCGGGTACGACCACGGAGCAGGCCAGAACGAATGGGGAACCCATGGCGACAGCGATGGTGGAAGCGAAAGCTGGGAATTGCGCGTTTGTTGCCCATTGTGAGGGGCGAGAAACAGGCGGGCTAAAAATCTTGGTGTTGGTCTTTTTTTCTCACATACCCTGGTCTGTATTCCTTGGAAAGCGGAGGTTGGGTAGAGATGCTCGATGCTTCGAGGCCCTTGCAGCCGCAGTAGTAGCCGGCCAGAAGCAGGCCAGAAGCAGCTTTGAGCTGGGCAAACGGCAAAGCGGGCAGGGCGCGAACAGGGAAGAAACAAACGAAGCTGTAAACGGAGGAAGACGTGACGAGAAGCAGGAAAAAGCAGGGCAGGGCAGAGCCGTTCAGGCGTGACTGGCTGAAGTGAAGGTGAGGCCCCGGGCGGGATTGAGCTGGCGTGACGTTGACGGTTGACCCGGTTGCTTGCGTGTGTCATTGTGCGGTCGAATCAGGTCGTAGAGGATTTGCCTTGCACAACGTGAATGATTGCACTGAAATGGGTACGGATACACGGGTGATGGCATAGCGGTGTTGGCTCACTCGAGCAAGCAGGGGATCTGATTGGCACCAGGTTGCGTGTTTGCCGGCCCTGATCGTGGGATGGGGTTGTTGAGAACTTGGGAGGCTGGGGAAAAGTCGAGCAACCTGAGGATTCAATTACGGAGCCGAGAAAACCCCAGCTGTAGGCAGGTATCTTGGATATTCTGTCAAATGTTTTGGCTGTATGACTTGCTTGGAGCTGTGCTTGTCTCGTTGAAAATCTTCAGAGTCGTTCTTCCTCTTTGATGGGAATCAAGGGCATTACTGCAGAGACTTTTAGACGAGTCTGTGATGAAAGCAAAACTGGCATTTGAGCGAACTCTGGCCATGAGAATGCGCTTCTCCCCCGCGCGAAAGCACAAGAATCAGGTTACGGTGAAGAGATGCAAAGCGAGGCAGGTCGTGGAGGTGGAGGGATGTGGTTGGCGGGTAGTTGCCGTGGGTCCACACTCTCGAGCTGGGCTGCATCATTGGCGAACGCCGTTTTCTTTGGACGAATCACACAAAGCAATTGTTCGAGCTGGGGAGGCAGGAACAAGGGATCCCCACTCACGGCCGGTGCTCCCGTTTTCCGCCGTTGATACGGGCACGTGCTAGGATGAGGTAATTCTCGGACCAGACGACGCACGTGACAAGTAAGGTCCAGACCTTGGGGCAGTGACCAGGCTACAGCCGCCACACATCCATCGTCCACGTGTGGCACTTTCCGATGCAGAGTGTGGCTGCGCAACGCAACCAGTCCCAGTACTCCGTAGGTAGTCCGTTGAGAAGCAGCAGAAGTGCAACACTACGTCACGGACTCAAGAACACCCTTGCCCTTTCGGAGCAATTTTCCAGGTTCCCCTCCTCGAGTTTGTCACCGCGGGGCATTCCATTCGCTCCACAGTCCACCTCAGATTCTCAGCCCAATCAATCATCTCACCCACTTTCAATGTTCTATTCGATCACTTCCCTTCTATGATTCTACCTACACAGTAGGTATCTGCTTGTCATCCGCGACTACATACCTTAGCGCGTTCCCATCAATTCTGTCTAGCCAGTTAGTGCTGCATCTCGAAAGATACCGAATGAGGTTTGTTGCATTTTCGGTAACTTCTTGCTGTTTGGAAACGAATGATATCATGCCGCAATTACGACGAACCCCCAAAATATTCACAACCTACCATCGACGTGATCAACCTGTTACCGAGAGAAACCAACCTCGTGGAACTTGAGGCATTAAGAGAAAGGAAAAAAAAAGAAATAAATCAACAGGGATCCTCAATTATGGTTATGACAGACATGTTCCGTACATTGTTGGGCATCACCTGGCTCAGTGGGAAAGCAGAAATGGGTGTTTTTGCGGACTGACCGAGCACTCGATGGCAGAGTCCTGCCTTACTATGTAGGTACTGGGTCTTGAGCCCCTCCTATGGGCGCTCGGCCAAGTGGAGGGCACACTATGAGAGGTAAGGCAAGAGCGATTCTCGATGTCTCATTGGCCAGAATGCCTGTAGGTATGAGGTCATACTCTCTCCTACTGCTTCGTTGTCAACTCGTCCCGCCCTCCCCTCCGCCCTCCAGCTAGAATACTCCAGGGAACCCATATGCCACTACGGCTCCCCCAGGCTCGAGGTCACAGGCACAAGTTGCAGGCGTTACATGCAGGTAGGCAATGCCGACTGCATTGGAGGCCGCGCACATACCTTACCATGCTCGTTCTTCTCGCGGACAAAGAGGCGCGGACGTATTTGCCATCTTTCGGAGCAAGTAACAGACGCTGCACTGCTTGAAACCCGAGGAGCTGTTACATACTTGCAAGATTACCGGAGAGGACTCCCAAAGTCCCCCAAAGCCACCACCACCACCACCATACCTCCATCACTTGCCTTGGACTTTACACTAGTTTTTGGTGCGCAGCGGCCTCGGGTTTGTCGCAGGGAGCACCCGTCCTCTCATGCCACTTACGACAGCGCTAGCACAAGTCTCTAGGCGCACTAGACAGCCTGCCTGGCCACTCGTCTTACTTTTTCTCGGTGCCCAGCCAATGTGAGAATGAGCAACTGGAAAATTGGACGACCCAAAGAAGGGCACACTCTTTTCGGTCAGACGTTGAGAAGAGAGGGGGGCTTTACGGCATGTCCAAATGACTCTTTTGCCAGTACGGTAGCTTGTGTTGTGTAGATGGGCTACCTTTCGGATGAGAAAAAAGGGTCCCATTTTGTTCAAGAACAAGTTTCAAAAGTATTTGTTCACGGTACTTTTGCGGGCGAGGTACTTTCGCATGCCCGTATCGAACATGCCTTGCCTTAGCATTTCTTTCCCTGAGGTGGTTCCCGCACCCTCCGTTTCTGCTGCCGCTGCCGCTCCAAATGCTGCATCTTTGGGAGCAACGCTGAGTCGTCGACATGTCGCATCCATGTCTTCGGACAGCCCAACCCTGTTCTGCCCTGCCCACTCCAGGCCTAAGGTGGCTGTATCTGGCTGGCTTCTCTGCCTGAAGTGACCTCCCCGTCCCTGCCGTCTCTTTCCTTCCATGCCTGATTGCCTTTGCCCTCCCGTCTTGCTGGACCCTTGCCCATCCGCTTTCTTCTAGCTAGCCCTGGCGCCCCCCCCCCCCCCCTGTCTTCGCTCATCATCTCTTCCCCTCCTTCATTTCTTCCCGGGGCTTGTTGTCCTTCATCTTTCTAACTTTAACAACTCATAGACATTTCAGCGTCTTCATCGAAAGTTCTTCAACCATACTTCAGTCTCGCCAGTTGAACCATCATCTCTGGCGGCATACTCGAGCCAAACCCTATTACTGTGTCACTTCACTCATACGACTTACACCACCCCGCTTCAAATCGAAACCTACCCACCGAGCCTGCTTGGCTCTTACGCCCACTCTCGTCAGCCGACATGAGTTACTACGAAGAGCCTCAGCGCACTCGTCGCTACGTGCGCGAGGAGCGTCGTGAGGAGAGAATTGATCCCCGTTATGCCGACGAAGGCTATCTTAAAGTTCACCAAACCCGCGAGATCATTCCTCGTGCCCGAGAGAACAGCGAGCTCTCTATTGAAGAAGTCCGCCGAGACTTCCCCCCTCCCGGCTATAGAGATTCCCGGAGAACTCGGTCAGCAGAACCCGGCTACTACGACGACCCCCGCTATGACGACCGGGACCGATACTACGATCGCGAGTATGATCGTCGCAGCCGGAAAGCTGGCAGCCTCGTCTACGCCGAAGAGGAGAGGTCTCGTAAGCGCGTTATCAACCAACAAGAAAAGATTCTGGCTGCTGTTGCCGGTGCGGCCTTAGCCTTTGGCGGCAAGGAGCTTTACGATAGAAAGGAAGCCAAGGAACACCGCGGCGAAATCGAGAGAAACTACCTGACTTCGGCGGCATTGGGAGCAGCTGGGGCTCTTGCCGGCTACCAGGGCGCAGAGTACTACGGCAAGCGCAAGGAAAAGGAGGAGGACAAGTCCACCTATGTCATGCATCGCGGCCGTGACGGTCGAGTCACCGAATACTACTCCGACGAGGAGGGAGACAGGGAGAAAAAGGGTCACAAATCTTTCTTGGAGAACGCTCTCGCAGCCTCTGGTCTGGGAGTTGCTGTCAAAGCTCTCACAGGCGCCAGTGGTGGCGACGACCGGCGTAGCGACACTAGAAGCCGACGAGGCAGCCCTGACTCGAGATCTTCTCGGTCCAAGTCTCGAGGACCCGGAAATGAAGCCGCCAGCAAGATGCAGAAGGCTGCCATGGCTTCTCTCATTGCCGGAGCCACTGAGGCTTTCCGTGTTGCGAAGGAGCCCGGCGGCTGGAAGGGCGAGAAGACAAAGCGCATCATCACTGCTGCCGCTGGTGCGGCTACCATCGACGCTGCACAAGGCGGCGAGAAACAGAGCAAGTTGGGCCTGGCCGAATCCGTCATCGGTGGTCTGGTGGGTAACCGGGTCATCAACGGATCCAAGCGCAACATCGAGGAGGACCGCCGAACCGGACGAAGCCGATCGAGGTCGCGCGCTCGCTCTGACGGCGGAGGCGGCGGACCGGGCTTGGCTGCTCTGGCAACTGCCGGTCTAGGTGCCTTTGGCGCAAAGAAGGCTATCGAGAACGTGCGGTCCCGGAGCCGTGGCCGTAGCGCCGACTCTTATGACAGCCGTGCCTCTAGCCGCGATGGTCGCGACAAACCCCGCCAACGCAGCAGAAGCCGCAGTGTTGTCGACTCTGCACGGAAGCGACTCGCCAAGATTGGCATTGGCAGCAACCCGGAGGAAAAGGAGAGAGAGAAGTATGGCCGAGATGATTACTACGATGACGACCGTAGCTCTCGACGCGGCGGCATGACCCGGAGATACTCTGATGAATACGACGACTACGACAGGGGATCCGCACGTGGTGGACGCGACGCATACGACGATGACAGATCGTCATACACGAGCCGGCGCCGAGACCGATCTCGCCGCAGGGGAGGAAAGTCGGACACCAGTTCCGAATCGGATCTTGGAGACTCGGACGATGATGCGAAGCGCGCAAGGAAAATGAGAGGTAAGCAAGTCATTACAACCGGCCTAGCGGCCGTTGCCACCATTCACGCGGCACATGGGGTCTATCAAAGTATGGAGAAACGCAATTCAAGGCAGAAGGCTGTGAAGGAAGGGCGGCTCAGCCCAGAGGAGGCGAAAAAGCTCAAAACCAAGGCTCTCGTGCAAGACGCCGCCTCTGTTGGAATCGCTGCCCTCGGTATCAAGGGTGCCTGGTCTGAGCTTAAGGAAGCCAAAGAGATGACACACGAATGCAAGGAATTCCAACACGAGAAGGAAATCCGACACCAGAAACGACTTGAGCGGCAGAAGAGGCTCACCGACGGCCATGGTGGTCGACGGAGTAGGGCTGACGACTGGTCTCATGCTGGTTCTCCACGAGGAGAGCGGTATGACTATGGTTCAACTTACTACGACGATAACCCGTACTCTTCCGGGCACCTGCCTGCACCTCCTGTTGGTTATGACGACAGGAGATACAGAGACTGAGAAGTCCGGGAGAGGGCACTTCAGTCCTGAACGGTGGGGTGTTTCGTCCTTGTTGGTACTCTTCGGATTCCTCAAGGCAACGTCCTCGCCCGCACGGGCTGTTAGTCTCACTCTGCCCTCAACCCCTCGGTTCCTTTTACGACCTATAATGCCTGTACAAGACACTACGACGCTACGACATTTTTCTACAAGTCAACTTCCAGCCACATTTATATCTGTTTTCAAACAAAACTGGGAAAGATTTTTTGGAAGACTAAGGGGATGTGGGAGTGGCGCTTCACACGTTTCACAACGGCCCTCGACGGGCGCCACCTTGCGTTGCGTTTACTCAGATAGATGGATTCCCTTTTCCCCTTTTGTTGCCAATCTACACGCAATCTTCTCTTGTACATGAACCATAACTGATTCTAATTGGATTGTGACAGACCGGGACCAACGCCGCCGTTACTAATCGGCCTGCACCGCCATCAAGAAGAACCAGATGCATCGTCACTGGTTGAGCTGTTGTCTTCGGCCCCTGCGGATGACAGTAGTACCAAATGGAGGGCATCGCAGCCTGCAGCTCAGACAAAATGGGCAAACGATGGAGCCGAGATCGAGGCTGATCGGCAGGGTCTGATTGGAACCAAATGTTCTTGTTCGAGTTAAGCAATGAAGGGGGAGAGACAGAGAGAGGTCTGGCCACCACATGGCCCCGGGCTCGTAGTGGTTGAAGCAGCCAAGCGGAACCCGATGAGAAGGGACCCCTGTTCCTGAGACAGACCGGACATTTTTCGCTAGCGCGGGAACGGACAAGCGGCGGTGAGAGAAGGCGGCTACCAGTTGGAAAGATTGGGGAATAGACGGGAAGGGAGGGGTGGCATATGCGGGATGATGATATGCGGCGGAAAAGACGGCTACGTGGGTTTTAGTACTCGGGCCAGAGCACAAGATCATCATCGTCGAGTTACCGCGATGCACTCGCTGCCCCTCCCTATCCCCCAACAACCACTCATCACACGATATTTTCTGGTCTCTTGGCTTCACAGTTTCCTACTTAGATAGGAGGATGGGCATTTTGTTTTCATGATACTTGGCTGGATTTGTAGTTCCCGATATTATGAGTATGAGATATGATAACCGTTGCGACCTGACCTCTTCTCCCGATTCCCTTCTCTTGGCTATGGCTAGGTACCCTTTAGTGACTGAGAACTGACGCTTTGTGTGACTATGCGATACGCAACAGAAGACCCCCCGGCAAAAGCGGTCGGGTCCGAAACAGCCCATACCTCTCCCCTCCTTACCATGTCGACGGCAGTGCCCAGAGCCAAGAGCTGCAGCCACCCCGCGAGTAATCGACTCAGTGAGTACATATTTTGGGCTGCTTCCTCTTCGGTTTCCTCTACCATACCTCTATACCTGCCTATCGGAACAGCGAGGCAGATCTTCATGAAGATGTTCTAGACTGTTCCTCCGACGCTCCCCCCACTCTCTCAACCCATCATTATCAAGTCTGCTGATTTTCTGACAACAGTTCTGCCAACTTTTTTTAATTGCTCTATTGGGCCGTTCTGATCTGCCATTTCTGCCTCGGTCTCGGTCAAGCTGGCACGTTGGAAACAATGCATCATGCGGACAAGAGATGGGGTGTGGGGGGGACACATGGGCAGACGTCGGCACCGTCCGTCGGCTGATGTCCTGGCTGTTCTGTCGTTCAGCCTGTTCTAACTTCTTGGAATGGGGGGAAAGAAAGGCAATGATGATGGGAAATTCGATCCGATCCAGGCAGTGTGCCATGGTTAGCTTTCCTGCCCAGTCAATCAATGTCAGACTGCCGTGGGCGATAAAAAGTGACTCGTGCTCTACACTACCTTACCCTACACTCCCATTAGTACGGATAGCGTGCGTTGGTTGCTTGACGGCATCGAAAGATGTCGTGTGGTGTCGTGGGAAAAAATGGTGGCGGGGTGATAGGCGGCTGAGCAATCAATAGAAAAATGACATCATTGTACATCCGCCGCATTTTTTTTCTTGGATTCCCCTCCCCTCCCTCGCGCCTGCAGTCGCCATTGGTGAAGACATCGTCAGTCAGATGACTGGTCTGACATGTTCTATCCGCCCGCCATCTCGATGATGGGTAAGCCCCAAAGTCCAGTACCGTAGTCTGCTGAATTGCACCAACTGCTAGATCATCTGTGTTTATTGGTCACGAGCTCGTTGGGTTGCGTGCGAAACTTGTAAGTTATGTGTCTGGGGCAAGGAGTAGACCTGAAGTCTGAAGAAGCAGAACAGAGAACGAAATTCTTGACTCTCGCATGGAATAAGGTTCGCCGGCTCACCCATCCGGCGGGAGCTTCAGATGACTGGTTTACCGGGGATGTCCATGGCGAGACAATAGTAATCTGGATAAGATGAGACACGGATGATTTGGTCCGAACTCTCTTTTTTGATGCTGGGTAGGGCATCTCAGAATTTGATGGAAGCTTTTGTTTTTGGGTACAATGGGCGTTGCTAAAGAGCATAGAATTATAAAAATAACAAAACATCGTCTTCTCTTCCGACGGATGATTTTTATGCCGCAGCATCTCCTCCCTGCTGCTTCCAGGCCTGCGCCATGGCCAACAGATTCGATAGGTTCTGCGTCTGCTTGTCGTCGGCGGGGAAGACGTAGTCGATGTACTCCTCGAAGCTGTCGTCCTCCAAGCGCCTTCTGCGCTTCGTCTTGCGCGGCATCAGCTTCTGCACATTCTCAATCTCGTCGTCCCCGCCGTGTATCCTCTCAAATGACAGCCACGCGTTGAGCAGCGTGACCGCCTCCTCCTTGAGCTCCTTGTCGCGCATGCTCTTGTGCGCGCGCTCAAAGACCTTGCGTGCCCTCGTCTTGGCTTCCTTGCTGATCGGTGCCTCCTCTTCTGCCTCTTCCTCGTCCTCGGGTATGTTGAGCTCAAAGTGGGCGTAGCTGATCCATACCTTGACGTGATCCGTCTTCTCAAGGAGGCGCTCGTAAAGTTCTCTCGTGCGCTCGTACTCTTCCTCCTCTTCCTCGAAATCGATGTAGGCCTTCCATAGCAACTCGGGCATATCGAGAACCGGTTGGCTCACGGCCAGCTCGAAGATGGCCCGGGTCCGCTCCAAGTCGTCAAGGCCGCGCTCGAGCTCGGCGAACTTGATCCAAGTCTGGCAGTTGGAGGCGTTCCACTCAATGTGCTTCTCGTAGAGCGTCCGGCATCGCAAAAACTCAAAGAGCTTCAGTTCCAGCTCAATGTAACCCCTGAACAGCTTGTCCTTCGGGCACATGCCAATAGCCTGGCCCAGGGTCTTGCGAGCCGCCGTCAGCTCACCCTGCCGAATCTCGAATTGTGCCTTTAGCAGCCAGACCTTGGCAAAGGTGAATTTCTTGTGGGGTATCAGTTCCAGGCAAACCTTGTAGATTTGCCTTGCACGCTCCATGTCTTTTGCCTGCAACTCCTCAAAGATGGCGTAGTTGATCCAGAGGTAGATGTACCGTCTCCAGAATCTCTTCTCTTGCGCTGGTGGTACTTGTGATACTGCCCTCTCGTAGATGTCGCGGACTCTGTCGAGATCGCCAGCGGTTTCCTCTAGACGTGTGTAGTCGAACCATGTATCGTAGTTCTTCGGGTTCTCTTTGACTTGTGCTTCGTAGTAAACACGGCGCTTTGAAAGTACGACATCCTCGACGCCATCCTTGTCTCCGAACTGCTTCTCAAAGGTCGTATAAGCCTTGTGAAGTATCATTGATTTAGAGCGAGGAAGGCGATCCAGTGCGTACTTGAAGATCGCCCTGGCTCTTTCGTACTCCTTCAACTTCGCCTCGTATCGCGCATAGGCAATAAAGAGCTTCTCGTCCACAAATTCGTCGCCCAGCTCTTCGATCGCAGTACCAAATACGTCGCGTACCATGTCACTCGTGCCAAATTCCTCCTCGAATTTCGCCCACTTGATCCAGTTTCGAGGTTCCGGGTGGACGAGTGTGAATGCTCTGAAGATATCTCTGGCTCGGTCGAACTCATTGTATCTCTTTTCCAGCTTGATGTATGCGCTCCACGCAGCTTCATCGGGTTGCCATTGCATCCAACGATCAAAGACTTGGCGGGTTCCTGGAACGTTGCCCAGCATCTCCTCCATGTACACATATTTGTACCAAAGTTTATCGACACGAGGTAATCGTGTGACGGCCCTGTCGAGAAGATTACGCGCATGGTTGATGTTTCGGCATTTCACTGGGAGAAAGTCAGCTGTTTGTCTTGTCACAGAGGGTTGGGGTTGGATTCCATACTTTCCGACTCGATGTACCTGATCCACAACTTGATCTCGTTGGGGTGCACATCGAGCGCGCGCTCGAAGATTGATCTTGCGCGCGCAAATTCCTTTTGCTCCAACTCCCAGTCCGCATATCGCATCCAGTTATTGAGGTTGACTCTATTGCGTCGAACATAGTCTTCGAACTCTCGTCGTTTCCGGCCCTGGAATTCGTGAAGTTCCTCTAGATCGGCGAACCGCTGAGTAGGTGCCTGTAGAGCGACCTCTTGTCGGTCAACAGCCTCTCGTAGAAGTTGCTCTGCAGAGATCTGAACAGGCGCAGCGGCCTTGTTCTTGACCTTCGGGGGTCCTCGTGATGCCTCCATGGTGTCGAGCCAAGTCGAAATCGATTGAACTCGGGGAAACGCGTGAAGTCGCGTGTAGTTGAGGTCGCTAAATGTGACGGTACAAAACTTCGGCTTTGTATGGGTACCGGCAAGTTGAATCGCGTCACCTTATTGCCCAATTGATGATATTCTGCATCAGTCGCAAACACCAACGATGCTCAGGCGACAGGCCCAAGGCTGAAGCGTTGGAAAAACGCAGCTCTTATCGGCACCAGCCACTCCGATAACGAGCTTCTGTGGCTTAGACCCACCCGTCGCGCCAAAACTTCCGTAGCCTCGCGAGGCTTCCGTAACTTTATATCCTCCCAATCTCACAACTTCGCCACGCCGTACCTCCTTCCTAGGCGACTTTAACATCGAACAGCCACTTCGGTAGCTGCGACTGGCAACATGGCGACTCTAGCAGATGAGCTGCTGAACGATTTCGAGGACTCTGGCTCGGAAGCAGAGGAGACTCAGCAAGACAATGATCCCCTAGGACTTGATCATGCGCCCGAGGCGAGCGGTCGCAAAGCATCGGGCAGCATGGATCTGGACGATGACCAGAGCGAACCTGAGGATCAAGATGAAGAAATGGGTGGGACACCCAAGGGTGCTGTTGATCCTGTCGAAGATGCAGAGGATACAAAGGCAAAGGTCGAGAAGATGCAGCTGGGTGGCGTCAACGATGTTCGCAGTGTCGCCAGTCTCATGTCAAGTTTGGAGCCAGTACTAGAGGTAAGTGACGCACCCGAAAGCACCACTAGCTTGATGGAAGCTGTGTTTACATCGTCTCTTGGGAGAACTAGCCCTAACATCGTCACTCGAACGCTACAGAAAATCGCACACTACCAGTCGCAACCGACCCCCACAGAACTGCTAGGCAACATCGAAGACCATCCCGAATACCACCTCCTGACACAATCGAACAGTCTGTCGACTCTCATAGACAGCGAGATCGTCTTGGTACACAAGTATATCAGGGACCACTACTCAATACGATTCCCAGAACTGGAGACGCTCATCACCAACCCACTGGAGTATGCGAAGGTCGTCGCGATCTTGGGCAATGGACCGCTTGATTCGGAGAATATCAAGAAGCTTCAGCACTCAACGGAAAATGTCCTTCAAGCTTCCCTGAAGTCCGTTCTCGACGGCCCATCCCTCATGATCGTAACAGTGGAGGCTACGACAACGAAGGGCAGAGACATGTCGCAAGAAGAACTGGAACGCGTATACAGAGCCTGTGAAATGGTCATTTCCCTCGACAAGGCGAAGAAGACCCTAACGGGCTATGTCCAGTCGCGCATGAATCTGTTCGCGCCGAATTTGACTGCTATGATCGGTTCTCTGACGGCTGCTCAACTGTTGAACGCCGCTGGTGGACTTACTGGTCTGTCGAAGACGCCCGCGTGCAACATTGCAGCGTGGGGTTCAAAGAAAGGTGCTGGTGCCGCGGGCTTGGCTACGAATATTGGCGTCAGACAGCAGGGTTTCCTCTACCATTCACCCATCATTCAAGGCATTCCCAACGATCTCAAGAGGCAGGCCATGCGCATCGTATCAGCGAAGCTGCTACTCGCTGCCCGCGTCGACAGAATTCACTCCAGCGCCGATGGCTCGACGGGCGAGGATCTGAAAGAGCAGTGCCTCACAAGACTCGAGAAGCTCACGGAACCGCCTCCAAACAAGGGCCCCAGAGCTTTGCCGGTACCAGATGACAAGCCTTCCCGCAAGCGTGGTGGTAGAAGGGCAAGGAAGGCTAAGGAGGCTACGGCCATGACGGAATTGCGCAAAGCCCAGAATAGAATGGCCTTTGGCAAGGAGGAGCGTGAAGTCGGCTACGGCACAGGGGAGACCACGGTCGGCATGGGTATGATCGGTCAGGGTAACGACGGCAGAATTCGCAACCTCCAAGTCGATCAACGCACGAGGGCCAAGCTCGGCCAGAAGAACAAGGGCTGGGGCGGCGCAACGCCCATGGGAGGAGCGGCATCCTCGCTCAGGGGTTTTGGACAATCAGCAAACTCCAACATTGACCTACGCGGCAAGGGCCTGAGGACGTCAGGTGTTGGCACATCGCTGGGCGCGGGAGCGGGCACGGCATCCTCGCTGGCCTTCACGCCTGTACAGGGTCTGGAGCTCGTCGACCCCAAGGTCCAGGCTGAACTCAGTCGCAAGCGAAAGGCGGAGGAGGACCGGTGGTTCAAGGGTGGCACTTTCACCCAGGTTGCGGGCTCGTCCAATGATGGCTTCAAAAAGCCAGACTTGCCTCCCAGTAAGAGGGTTGATACCGGCGCCGGCAAGATGGGACCTCCACCTCCGAGGAGCGGCTGAGTGAGCCCGCCTCATCTAGCCGATGTGATTGTGGCAAGAGAGGAGGATGTTAATGGACTAAGCAAGGATTCAAGAGTTTGGGAGAAGAAAGTCTACAAAGCATATCTCTTACCCGAAAAGCTAGCCCCGGCAGACGAAAGGGAAAATGAGGGGGGAGGGTGGGTTGTTTCCAGGTTGTCAAACGGGTTCCGCGGCTGAGCAAAGACGAATCGAGTGATCACTCGGCCGGCGGGAAACGGCGTGCGGCGTTTTGGGGATGGTTTTCCATTATTCGAGTCATCGAATCAGTATCAGTATCAGTAGCAGCATACCATTTAGGCATTCTAGGGCGGGAAATGGAAATCAGACGAATTTCTTTTTTTCCCCATTGCTCAACTCTGGGATCCCGTTCTTCTGTCCATGTCCGAGGGGGAAAAGGAGGGGCCAAAGACGTACCAGGTGTATGTTTGTCCGTTTCCTCACTACAAAGCAAAGCCCACGATTGCCGGCGCATTGCCGTTTCTACGTCTTGTCGGCAGTTCTTCATCTCGGCTCCTCCATGTGTGCTTGTGCGCTCGCGTGTGTTGTGTGAAGAAGAAAACTTTGAGACGATTGGAACAAGACGTAGATTGGAAATCGCATGTCATGTGTGTAATAGCCCAACGGCCATGTCGATCAAACGTCTTTTTTTGGTCCCAATTCTTCTCTCTCTCTCTCCAGAAGGTGTTCGTAAACTTCCCGTCGTCTCCCCGTGTGCTATATCCCCTTTACCAAAACGCCAACGTTTTGTTCCTTTTTTCGTGGTAGTAGCTCTTCTCCATCTTTACCTTCCCGTCGCAAAAAAAAGCATGGTTTCGTAGAAACGTCTTTGCGGTTCATGCCAAAAGAAATCTGAAAAATTCTGTTTCTTGGCTCCTTTGAAACAACGTTTGCTTTGGGGGCCTCACCATCCGCCCAATCTTCACGATCCTTTGGTTCGAGGGTGAACGAACCGTCGATCGTCATCCGTGCCTTGAAAAGTTGAAAGGTAACAAACGTGCTTGGGCAGCGTGGCAGCGTTTGTTGGGCGAGCAACGCATCGCAACGCAAAGACTTTGGGTACTTAAAAAAAATAAAACGCTCGTCCCTTTCTTCGAGAACCACGCAGAAGTACAGATATTGGAGCGGATGGAAACAGTTAGGTACGAAAAATGGAGAAATAATGAGAAAAAGAACACGAGGGGGAAAACCGTCGGCAGGTCGAGAGTCTAATTAGACAAGAGGAGGGCCGTGATGGCCTTCTTTTGCCCTTTTGGCCATGCCTGATGGGGTCTGGGCTCACCCAAGGGAAGAACGTTTCCTCTGTGCACACACACATTGTCGTCTTTCCACACGTCTTGATGTTGGGCTCATCCTCGTCGCCCACCTATCAAGAACACGCCGCCTTCTGCCGCGCGAGATCTCTGAGAAACTAGACTTTTCTCCCAAGGTTCAGCCATTGTTCGGCAGGTTCTGCATTGAAGAGCTCGCTTACCCTCTTTCTTTATCTCGAAGCTCCCCGACTGTATCCGTACCCCCCCACCGTTTTGCGCGAAAGCTCTAATTTGGAGTAGGGCCGCGACAGGCTCGACCGGGGCCACGAGGCGACGATGCCCATAAGATTGAGAACAGACGGGATGCATCCTTAAGGGAACAAGGAAAGTTCTTTAGGGACTATCATACACAGGATGAAGCCCGCCCAGCATCTGTGCCCATACCTACCTACACTGTCGAGAGGTAGGGCCACCAGCTCACGCGACCACGCCGCGCAAATATTGAACGCCCGAACCTGTCGCCGTTGCGAGGCTTTCCAGACTTCGACTGGACCAGGATTTTCCGGGGTATCCCGCTATGAAACGCCGGGGATGGAACCTCGAGCCTATGCTTTTCTCTGCCCTCACGTCCCCCAACTATGGCGTGAGTTTGTTGTATGTGTATAATTTTTTCTGTGTCTCTTTGGCTTTCTCTTGTTCAAGGTTCTATACTGGACCCCGAGGATCTCGGAGTCGATTCCGACGGGCGAACAGTGATCACGCCAGGCACAGATCGACAGTTGACGATAGAGTTCGAAGCAACGTTGACACGAGCATTGCTTGACAAAAGCTCTGTGGGTTTGTACTCGTACGTTCCCGAAAATTACGCATTCTTTCGGCATGCCAATTATTGTCCTCTTCTCGGGAAGTCGACCATATTCTTCTACCAAGCCCGTAGGTAGTTGTCATTGTTCTGAGCTCATTGGCGCAATGGGTGCAGATCTCAATTGGGGGGGGGGGGGGGTTGCAAACTTGCGCTGGGCTTACCTAGCAATGCGCCATTCGTGCCTGGAATAATGGGCACATGTTTCGGTTCGCAGTGGCCCCCGTTGGCCCAGCAAAAGTAACAAAAGTACGGAAAGCACCTTACTGTATCCGTACGGAGTACACCATAGGGCCCGTCGGGAATATCGTCCGCGGCCGAAAGACAAGCGGGGCCGGTAACGCATGCCCTCGGCCACAATGACGTACCGCTTACCATGACACGAGGGTTGCCAAAGCCGGAGTTAGGTCCCTTGAAAATCTATAGGTTATTACCCTTAGTATGAGTGGGGAGTCAGAATGCAAGCTGCAGCCTGCACTCCGTAGTCCGCACCGTAAACCATGATCGATAGAGGTCCAGAGGGAGGGGGCGCTGCCTCACATGGACAGAGTCCCCGCCCCGGTGAGCTTTGCGAGGTCCCTGGAGTTTTTCTGTATCTGTCTCCGTACCCGCATCGTTCGCAAGGGTCTGAGGGAAGGGGAGGGGTTAGAGCGGACAAGAGAGCAGAAGAGGGGGAAAAGGGACCAAAGCCCTTCACCCTCGTATGTTTGGAAGCACCCATCAGAAAAAAAGTAGACAGGCATCCTGTTGGTAATCTCTTGCCGACTGTGGCTTGTCTCATCACCTTCTCTGGCAACATGGACGTCTTCTCTTGCATCAACACATCAGCATGGACCCGAAATCCCATGGTCTGGCAGTTCGCTTTGATGGCACCTCCGAAATTTGACTTTGTGGCTGCAGCTGGACCCCATGTTAAGAGGACGGTCCAGAACTTCAGGGACCAGAGGATCGTCTTGATAAACGCAGGGAAACCCCCAGTAGCAGACGACTTGTTCCCCAGAAGACCTCAGGCAACAAGGGACTAAGTGCACGAAGAAACAGGCCTGGCAGTACGTACCGAAGATACATGACCTTACGCGGTACGGATAAGTACCTACCTTAGGTCGTGACCTATCAGGGTTAGCAATTTCATTCCCCCGATAAAAGAAAGGAAAAATTGCCAGACAGCATTCCGTTGGTTGACAGTCCGAGGGTCCCTTATCGTTGATCTCGTGTCTTTCCAACCGCTCGGAGGCTTCTCTGTGTGAAACCAGGACCCAGGAGCACTCCGTCTTTGCTTGACAGCTTGGCGGGCCAATATTCCGAGTTCAGAAAATTTGTCGTTCAAGCTGACGCCAATTGAATTCGAATTGAGCCTCGAGGGGAAAAGGACGATTAAAGAAAGAAACCGAAAGACAGGCCACTCGCAAGGGCCCACCTGCCAATGCCCCGTCTTCGGGGAAGACGTAGGGATGAAAACCCAATGACGTGAGGGTGATGTTGGATAATATTGGTCCCCAGCCGGACTGCGGGGAGGCACCCTTCTTCCCCGACCAACTGGACCCGGCTGCAGCGTTCAAGGACGGCGCTACAACGCCAGCTGGTTGGATGGGTGCAAGACAAGGTGGAGAAACAAGTACACTCGAAACGCAGGCAGAAAACGGAGAGATACGTGCATTTACTGAATTGACGCCGGCCCGGAGACTGAGAGCACGCTTTGTTGGAGGTCCCTAAAAAGAACAGCGTTTTCAGGATAAGTCGAAACAGGACGCTGAATCGTGGACCGCGATCTTGTTGGAGGAAGAGAAGGATGAGGCATACTCGACCACTGAAGCGGCAGCGAAGGCGAAGAGACGAGCAGACAATCATTGTGTACAACGTGTCAGCCAGCACCTGCATTCAGTCAATACTCAATGCGAGTTACACCGGGACACCGCGCACCCGTGATCGTAGGGGTTGCGCGTAAGGAGGCAAAGAACCTGTTTCTTTCTGCGCCCATGCTATGAGTTGGAATTCGGACATCTGTCTGTATATGCTTAACCCAAATGAAAGTTAACTGTCAGGGTGCAGGCATAAGCGCGCAGGGCAAGCCTGATACGGTTCTTCTGTCACTCTCTGTCAGTCTGCTTGGTCTGTCAGCAAGGCACACAGCAAGGGTCCGGATAGCTGTCTAGATGCATAAAATACATGGAGCTACTTTACCTTAGGTAATGAAGCTCCATCCCGCGGTGGGGAGAGGTGTCTCTTTCACAGTTTGCCGGTGGAGTGGAATAGGATTGTGGACTCGTCTAGGCCTTGCCAAGGGGCACCCGATGTATCCGCCCGGCACCACGGCGTGGTTGAAACCAGGATAGGGTAGCTGCGCCAGGTGCGTTGGAAGGCTACAATCTGCCATGTCCCTGTGGTATTTCTGGCACGAGTGGAGCTGTCGCGACTGCGCGAAAGAGAGATGGCGAGGGGCGGCAAGAGAGTTTTCGTCTTCGGGGATCAGATGTCTTGCGAGAGACCTGTGTATCCGTACCTACGTCACTCTGGCGGTTGAAGGACGACAAAAGACCCGCCGCGAGTGATGGGTATGGAGTAGGTATGGAGCACGGAGTCGTGGGAGTATGGACCTGAGAGCTGCTCAGTAACCATATTTTGATCTTCAGCAATGGGCGTTGATGTCGGCGACCGTGCTGGGTCGAGAAATGAATGAACCAATACAGCGAGGTAAAACATATCAGCCGTCGTTTCTTCGCGCCTCATATTCAATTGGTGCCGAAGGAAGCGTTGCCCTGTGTACGCCTCAATACTCCAGCTCTCGAGATGATTGTCTGCAGCAAATATGCGCATATTCATGTCTTGTCGTCGCAGAGTGACCGGCCTGAGAGTGCGTGCTGTGTATTGTATTTGCATGCATTAAATGGTGCAAAAGCAGAGGCACACCGTACCGGAGCAGGCACTCCGGAACGTGTGTGCCTGTCAATCGGGATCGGTGATCGGTGATCAGTTGTGATCAGGCGGAATATTCTGCGGCTGGTGCGACGTTATCTTCAGGGTCTGAATGGTGCATTAGTTGGGTTGGGCTCCGTCAAGAGTAAGACTACTCGGTAACAGCGAGGGACCTTGGTTCGGTACCCTAGGGGTCGTGATCGTCGATCTAGTGTGTATACATTGAGCTGAGGATGGAGGTGGGGATAAGAGGGGAGACTCGAGAGTCAAGAGTGCGCGCGCGCGCACACCGCACACCGCACGTCGCACGCCTAGCGTCCTCAGACGTTCTCCAAGGAATTGGACGGGAAAGTAAAACGGGGCGCAGGTTTGCGGGGCTGTCGGGTTGGACTTGCACCCTTAAAAATGCAATGTGCGAACTGCGCGAAGTAACCGTTCACGTAGAAATAGTCGCAGTCTCCGTATCCGTACTGGCCAAGGAGGTACCTCATGATTTTACTTACATGACATACCAAAGGTACCTGATGGGCTTATCTGGGTGCGCAGTACCTTAGGAACGCCCTCGAAGGACGCGACGGAATCCAGTCCGAACGGTATCTTGTTTGGATCACCGTCGGATTTCATCCGTACCTGGTCCAATTGCAAGACAGAGCAATGATTCCCGACGGGGTAAGAGACTTGGAATAAAGACTGGAATTGTAATAGACTGGCAGAAGCGCACAAAGGAACGGGAACGAAACCTTCTTCAACTCCAACAAGACCATTCATAGCATTCGCAAGAGACTGAGGCAATAGAGGTGAGGAATAGAGGGGATGTCCACGCCAGTGGGTAAATAAGCAGGGCAGCGGCGGCGCATCGCATGATTGACGGCAAACGGACTGGTGTCGGTTCCGTGTCTGGATTGGTTGAACGGCGCTGTCCGACGGAGCAGCTAAGACCCTGGAGATCGGAAAATACATACCAAATGATGCACCATGCCTACCTCAGCCATCGTCGATGAGGGACAAGTCACCACCACATGGGATTGTACGTATGTACATGTGTGGCACCCTTGTTCGCTCTCCGGTGATTGCGCCACAGGGACGTGGAGCGTTGGAGAAGTGACGGGACGGGGGAAGTGAGGCAGACGAAGAAGGATGTGAGGAGAAGAGGAGCAGAATTGACTGGATAGTTGCATGTCCGGACTTACAAGAGGCTACCGTAGATAATTTAAAGGGGCACTTGACGAGGAGGACGGATACATGATAAGGTACGGAGCACCTCGCAAGCGGATATTAGGATCAGAGCCAAAATGGGGTAAGGAACCTCAAGGGCAGGAACTCTGGGGCACCATTCCGGATGTCGCAAAGCAGGGAAGAGGGGGACGCAGGACTACGTCTACAGCCACCCCCTTCTCACCCCAGCTGGGTACTTCCTGATCAACCTATCTTACTACGATCCTCAAGTATCTACTCAAAGGGCCCGAAGACGGGCGGTTGGGAGCAGGGGTTATCTAACAATGGCAGTTCGTCGAGGGGTCCAGCAAGCAACACAAGTTACAACACACCAACATCAATCAGGTGCAAGGAACCTTGGTGGGGCCGCACCTGCCCGCCAGCCCGCCCAGCCCGTTTTGAGCACAATGGGGCCCATACGCTTTTTTAAACCCCGATTCACTGCCATTCTCGAGATCTCGAGGTTCACTGGTGAGAGCAGTCAGCCGTAGGACCCTTCAAACTCTGTGACGCCGCAAAGGAGAGGGATAAAAAAAAAACTTGCTTTGCCCAACCCGCCGACTCGTTCCTTGGAATGGCGAAGCATTAGCGCCGCCGCCTTTTGGAGCCACACGTCCCCGAAACCCCATCTCCTCCCATGGCAATCGCGATCTGTTTGTTATATGGCGATTGCCATGGCATTACACTTGCAGTTGCAGACTTTGCTGGATCACTGAGACTGGCCAGTTCATCACCCCAACACCAGAATGCCCCTAGGGTCCTCCTCGTCCCTGATTTCTCGCCCTGCGTCGTGTGCCCTCGCCTCGCGTAGCCCCGATGCTCTGGAGCTTCCCCTCCGCGACTCCCAAACTTGTCACGTCGATTCCGTAGATGTCGTGTCTCGTTGTTGAAGCATGCACACACCATGTAAGTTGGACTAGGAGTACCTTTGTAGCCGCGGCTCCAAGCTGCCTCACCGGTCGAGAGCTAGAAGCAACTCTGTGCGGTACGTATCTGATAGCCGTGCATCCGTCCCCCCTCGTCTTAAGTAAGCAGTCTTGTCTTCTTTGGTGCTGGTGCCCAGGTTGCCCAACCTTACGGATACCTTAGTTCTAAACGGCAGGTGTGTATGGTCCACGTTCCATGAGTTCGTCAACCGGTGGTGCCATTCAGGGCATTACATAGTACACCTCTGCCCACAGCACGGTACCTGGCTGTAACTACTTCCCTACCTACCTGGGCCTACCTATGTATCCGTATGGGAAGCCACCGTTCCCGTTTTCTGGAACGTGCACCATACCGCTTGCGAGGGTTTCGCCTGCCGATTGTCCAGCCATACAGATGTCGACCGGAGAAAACTCCGCTACTATGCTAACCCGCCAAAAACAGGACAGCTAAAGGTCGACGGTGCTTTTTGACATTGCGTACCATGTTTCTGACAAACGGCCAAATATCAACCATCACTCAAAGGTTGGCCGATGTATCAGCATACCTCGCTCAATTTGATTGATGGTGATTATCTCAGCGATCGTTCCACCTCTCATCTGTTACATTGCGGCAGGGTCACTTACTCGTGAACTCACAGATAAACATGGGCACCGTCTGCAGCGAGCCACTATCACACAGTCGCGAAAACGACCAGACCACCAGCCCTGGGTCTGGGCCCACGGGGACAGTGCTGTCACGTCACAGCAAAGAGGAGAAGGACTCAGGAAGCAGTGCCGGACTTCATTGAAGCAAAGATTGCCGTCTTTTCGCGTCTTCTGACATCACGGACAATGATCAACGAACACCTCTAAGCGAGCAGATGGTAGCGATGGAAACATTGGAGACTCGAGAAGATTTCGCAAACAATTCTCGAACATCGACGATTGCGAAAGCATGCATTTGTGAAAGAATGCCATACTATTGGCCTCGGATTCAAGTTTCCAGCAAGTCAAAATAGAAGATCGGCCCCCCTGCCATGCGGAGATAAACCTAGGCATTCGAGTAGCTTTGCAAGGTTGAAAAGTCTCTGGCTTGAGATCTTGATAGATTATCTGGTGAGTGATGTGTCTTCTTTCCGCCACTCGGGTGATCATGAAGACCGTCATCTATCCATCCCTCGTGTACTTGGCTTTTGAAGTTTCTTCCCAGACGGCGTAACGATGCATGACAGGCGACGGGAGAACCTCAAGGGGGTGCCTCGACGGCATTAAGACGGTGCTGCCAGAAACAACCAGGTGGACGGGAATCATTTACTACCAAAGCAGTAAGGCGCTTCAGGTCACCCTGGTCTAGCACTTAGTGATCCTCACCCGTCTGCCTAAACCTTGCTAGGCAGGCTGGCACAGCTGGGAAAGCAATTGCAAGTAAATGCGCTCGCCGCTGCTAATCCGTAAGTATATAGCTGTTCGCTACAATCGGAGCTGCGCGCCAATCATTGCCGATAGACGGGGATGCTTCGAGTTCCGCTTACCTCCCAAAATCGCATAGCTTGGTTCCCCATCAGAGCCCAACCCCAACACTCCAGGATATTTCCTGACTGACTTCAGTCTTTCGGTACTTCTCAAGTTGTCACGAGCCACAGAGAGAGATCTCGATCGTGGACGATTATTTCCCTTCTCAGCTTGGCAAGTGGGCAAGCATAAGCAAGCTAGAAGACCCTTCGACGCCACATCACAGCCCGTTTCCCACTTGATCGGGAGGCTCATCCGTTCCATTAGCCCTTGCTGATAGGCTGCCTTTGACCCTTACGCCCTTTCTTACTTTTCTTTTCCGGCTTTCTTTCCCCATAGCCTGTACCGTTTCTGGCACAACTCTCTTCCCCTCCCAAACCCGAGGTCAATCCCCGACTTACCAGAGCCCTCGAGCCACTTTTGTCGACTCCTCTTGAGTCTTGTCGTCTCTCTGCACATTGGAATCCACGAGGGCTTGCTTCGTGCTGTACATGGTGCTAACATTCAAGGATATCGCTGCTACTAAACCTGCTTGTCTTTCGGAAATACGCTCCCGGAACTCAGTTGAGCTCTTGCCGGCATCGTTAGTTGAGCCACACATCCGGGAGGGTTGGATTAGGACTTATGGCTCACAGCACGAGGCCAGGCCGCTGAGCGAAACCCCCAGCTCTACGGATACATAGTCGGCAACTAGCCTATGACCCGGGCTCGTATGTAAACTGGAGATTGTAAAGGGACTTCTGGAAGGGCTCTCCGGCCGATTTGATGACGGTTCAATTATCCAAAGATGCGGCAGCCGTTACAGCATCCTTGCCCATAGCCCCAGCGCAACAACTCGCCCAGTTTCCCTTTCGAGCACGCGAACCTTGACATTTGGATTGGGTTCAGATTCAGTGATTCGTCCGGAAGCCTAGTACCTACTTTGCGCTACGTGCCTCTCTCAGATGACCGCCGTTCCCATGCACAACAGTGCCCATGGTAGGTGTTCCTCTCTCTCTCTCTCGCGCCGAATCAATCGCATAGACAGACGATGGTTGTCAAAGCATGGATAAAACGGCTTTAGACTTCTCTTCACCGTAAAAAAAAAAAAAAGTCGGGTTGCGGAAGCCTCGGGAAGCAACTGAGCTGACTTTTGGACACTTCAAAGCGCTTCATCTTTCTGTCGGCAGCAGTAGGTACCACGGTCAATCTCTGTTCTCTGTTGAAACGAGACTCAACTTTTCACTCGCAACCTCAGGACGAACGTTGCGAAACAAAAAAGAATTCGCGTGTCGCGTGGAGTTGGCTTGACGCCCGGTCGAGGGGGTTCAGCCTACATAGAGCTGGAAGTACATTGTTTCCCTGTCGTTCTGTGTCGGTACCTTTGGGCGGAATGCACACCTACAAGTACCGCAATGAGCTTGACATAGATATGACGACATTGGAAGGAGGAAATTTTCCCTCCCCAAAGGACGTACCGAGGGGGCCCTGCAGAGCTTAAGGTACATGGGGACTGCGTCGGACGAGGGGGGGGAGGGGCGTGTGTGTCAACCGCCCCTTCTTTTCTGCCCTTGCTCGTACCTCACGCCAGCCAAGTTAGGGAAGCATCTTACTGCTGAAGCCGCGCGAAGTCAGGTACCCTCTCACCCCCAGGTAGGTTTTGGAGCATTGCCGTCCTAAGCTGTTGCTCTTCATTTACAAAGGCATGTTGTTAAACCACCATAGCTGGATATTCGACGATAACGAGGGCCCGCTTGACCGGCCATACGCGCAAGGTCCCAACTGACACCTCACAAGAGCATCGCCGGCCGACGACCCTTTCTCTTCTGAATCCTTGAGCAGGCCTTCGCTGTCTCCAACAGGCTAACCGCCTTGTTGGGTCGGAGCAGGAGTCTCTTCATAACACGGATCCGCAGCGAGTGGGCAGTCTACTGTTTGTGGACAACCTCGACTATCAAGAGCCTTGCTTCGACGCCGCCCCGGGCCCAAGCCTTGGGTAGTCAGGGTACGGAGTACGGTTAGTTAAGCCATAGTCGGGGCTTGAAAAGAGGAGGCATCGTCTAGCAGCCTCAACGGACCACTGACGTCACCCTCGCGGGCCCTCGGTTCGCGCAGGGTCTCAAATTCCTCTTTCTTTCTTACTCTCCTCCTGGTCCGAGAAATACGGCCGAGTCAGGTGCGTCCACTTTTTCTTCGAGATCGCGATCTTCCTCAAGATTCCTGTGCGGCAAGGCCCATTTAGCTATGAGGAATCGTGTGCTGGACGGATTTGGGAGCACACAACGACTCATGCTCACCCAGTGGTCAGCTGGGTTGACAGACATGTTGTCGCCAAAAGAGCAAACATTGGAAAGGACCCTGAAAATAGTGCTGATTTCAGGAGAGCCTATCTGAAGTGCGCCGGAAAAGGATACGTCGTCTACACAATGTGAGAAGCTCCACCAGAGGGCAGTCATCTTGACCACCTGGACATTTTACGCTGGTTCCATGGCCATGTGAACAGTAGCGATGTCCAGACGGCTCAGTCTGTAAAGTTGCGTGCAGTCTCAAACGAAGAGCATTGGCGGAAAGAGAAGCACACGAGACCTCCCGATGGTGGTTTGACGCGCCGGAACTTCATCTCCTCAGACTACAGTCAACTCAGCTCGCAAGTTGATCGATCATTGTTTAAAAGACGATATAGGGTTTCTTGCCGGCTCAGACAAGTGGAGATGTTGCCCAAAGGAGGAAATGACTGAATGCAAGTCCTGGTCCCTTGTCACCAAGCGAGGCCCGAAAGCAAGGAAGTTGGCACCGTAGGGCAAATGGCATGCGCAATCCCGATCGAAATCGACAGCACAACGGGCCCAGAACAGGATGGAACGACCAGGGAAAAGCCAGCAAGCCAGGCACACACGGTCACCAGCAGGCATATGGCCGGCCCAGGAACGGTCTTCTGTTGTCGGTCTGCGTCGCATGTGCGGCTAGAGCCTAGAGGTAGGAGAGGGGATAGACTGATCGATTGGGATCGGGGCTGGTTGGAAAAAATATAAAAATAAAAATAAAAATACAAGACTGCTTCAGGTCATTAAATGGATATAAGAATGGGGATAAGCGACCAGGGGTGTACGATACACAGCAAATGAGAGGAGGGGCCTTGGAGTGCAAGAGAGAGAAAAAATTATGTGTAAAAGGCGGAAAACTTGGCTGCGCATCACCCACTCAGACCATGTCACTCGTTCGTAAACTGTCGGTCTCGGAAGCAGAAAACTCTTGGTCAATTTTGTCAGGAAGCCGAGAAATGCAAGGTAGTTCGGCTCGAATGTCTATGAAGGCAAAATGACATGGACATCCAATAATGCTGTTATCACGACAGCCCCTACCAATACAGAAAGGTACGGGAAGTTGAGAGTTTAGAGATTACCATCGTGCGTCGAGTCCCCTCTCCCTCTCCCTCTTCCGCGGGAGCTTTTTTTTGAGAAGTACCTAGACAATAAGCCCCGGAAGAGGCCCCAGAGTGTGAGAGCGAAAACAGAGGAGGAGAGGGGAAAGGAGGAGAGTCCACACATACCCCACCCCGGGGTGCGTAGCCGCCCGCCGCGAAGACTCGGGGAGCTACCCTGCAGAGAGAATTGGAGCTGGAACCGCTGAGCAAGGGGTGCTCGTAATAACGAAGAGAGAGAGGTACCTCTCCTGGAGTGAATGAGAGTGAGAGAGAGAGGGATGTGGCCCTGATGAGGGGACTTGGGGGTCGCCAAGGGGGGGGGGTGATCTGAAGGGGGTGTCGTACACGGTGGCTACCTCACGACCGGACCTTCCACGCTGTGGCTCCGGCCTTTCCTTGTCAGGGTACGTACTTTCTCTTCGCACTCATTCTCGACCCCTGCCCGAATCAAGTAGGCTGTCAGGTACGTACAGGTGCGCCACTGCCTGCTGTCGTTGTCGCCGCTGGGGGGAAGACACACACTGACACCCTGACTTCAGTCTCCAGGCACATTGAGGTAAACCCAGGACCTACCTGCGTGAAGGTACCTCATCTCACTACAGAGAGGTCCGGTACCTCAACCCACGTACCTTTGGTGGCATCCCAGACAGCGACCACAAGGTGCCAAAGGTGCGCAATTCTCTTTCCCATGCCCCATGCTCATCTCTGGTCTACCCTATACCCAATTCTTTTCCCCCTCTCCAAACACTCCCATACACTCCTCCACCCCATTCAGCTTTCTGCACACTCCTTCCCTTTCCCTCCATCCATGCCGACCGGCCCAGGTCCCCTCGTTGAGATACTTTGCTTCGGCCCACCCCCCTCTGCCCGCTGACCTCCCGAGCTTTCTACCTCCTCTCTGCCTCGATCCGCATCTCTCTCCTGGCTGGTATAATACTTCACTTGCGCCTCACCCTCCTGCGGCTTGATTAGCTGCACCACTACCTCTTACTCTCTCTTCACCAATTGTCCAGCCTCACCTCACATCAACTTTCCGGATCCTCTCCAAATACTACTTTATACAGGCCGACCATCCCAGGCACGACCACATCGTCAACAACCTCTCTACATTAATCACTAGTGGGACACAGTAGGGCCTCGTCGCCAAAAACAACACAGACTTGATACCTCTTTTATTCGATCAAAGAATACACACAAAGGAACAAAATTCCACCTCGACTCAATCACAGCTCTTCAACCCGGATATATGTCCAATCTCTCCAAAATGCATGCCCGAGATGCTACCGGCCGCCAGGTCTCTCTCCTGAACGACGAGCCTATCGCCCAACCCGCCCACCAAAGAATGGACTTCCGCACAGTCAACCAGGTCATCTCACAACCCTTCCACCCGGCACCACGAAGCAACTCTTCCTCACCTCACACTCCCGAGCTCCTCCGCTCCGACTCTTACGACTCCAACGCGAGCAACGATCCTCTTTCGCCCATGACTCCTACCTCGTATGACCCTTCTAGAGTAGGCGCATTCCCTGGCCAACCCATGTACGACGACTACGACATGCCCGCAAAGCGCCCTGCGTACGCGAACAATAGCCGTGCAGCTTCGTATGAGGAGGACAGCTCAGCAACATCACCCTTGCCGGAACGCCCGGGCAAGAGATACCCTTGCCGCTACCGCGACAGCCACGGATGCGAGAAGACCTTCACCACTTCAGGTCATGCCTCTCGTCACTCCAAGATCCACACTGCCGAGAAGGCTGTTCAATGCACTTTCCACGGCTGCCAAAAGAAGTTCACCAGAGCGGACAACATGAAGCAGCATCTCGAGACTCACTACAAGGACAAGTCTCGCTCCTCCACCTCCGCGAAGGCTTCACGTCCCTCAATGGGCGGTCTATCAGCATCCGGACGCAGGTCCTCTTCATCATCCGTTAGGGCCGCTGCCGCCAGCAACCGTGCTTCCCGCGACCAGCCCATGTGGGAGGGCGAGTCTCCTTACGGATATCCTCCCGGCCAAGCTCCTCTCCCATCCCCCGCTGCTAGCGGCGCATGGGATCTTCGCGGCCTGCACATGCCGCTTGTAAGCCGCCCCAGCGCTGCAAGAACACCCAGCAGCGGCCTGGACGCGCTGGCTATGGCTGTCGCTTGCCAAGAAGGTGCATAGAGTTTTGTTGGGATCAGAACGATTGCATGTCTCTTCTATCTCTCCCTCTTGGGCAGTTTCAACACTTATACCCGGTGGACTCTTGCAGCGTGTCCTATATAATACCCCATCATTCTCTATTTCTTTCGGCCGCTCCTATGGCCAACGGTGTGGAGAACTTCGCACGGTGGCTCTCGATTGTGACGGGTGATTAACCCTTCGCATTGAGGAGTCTTTCCTCTCCCATGTTTCCTTCTTTTCTAGTTTTTAGTTGATTTTATGTTGTCATTCGGAGTGATAGAGGGTCGCAAAGCATACGAATGGCGTACCTGCACATACACGGAAGGGAAACAAGGCAACAAAAATGGCGCGGCGTTATATATCACGTTTTGTTTTTGAACCGCGGAGGTTTTCAACCCGGGGGGCGGATTTCTTCTCTACACGGCGTTGGTTTCTTCACGGTTTCGTACACATACCCGAATCCTCGATTCAATCAGTACCGAGGGGCAGACGCATCACTGCGATTGTTTGTTTTAAGATGAGGAAAAAGGCTATTCCTGGTTAGGAATGGGATACATATACACGAGGTTTCCCAGACAGGCTCTCTTTTTGGAAGAAAACTGGGATGATGAGGATGCTGGAAAGTTGGAGAGTGAGTTTTCATGGATGGGCGCGCGGATTCTAGATACCAGCTGCGCCCAAGACCGGGGGTGGACGATCTTTCTCATAGACCACTTACACACATGAGTGGATGGGAAGTTGGGAGTCTGTCCCAATGTCGATATCACTCCCACTGCCTGTCGTCTTGGTTTATAGCCGGCGGCGAGGTCAAGAAAAAAAAAGAAGAAATACAAACACACGTTGAACAAGCATGCTCACTTCTGCCCTCTTCATTCGCTGTCTTTACGTGAGTAGAGTCACCAAAGTGGCTGGCTAACCCAACCATCACGATGTTCTTCGAAACATCACGAGAGAAGTTCCCAAGAGGGCATTCTTGTCTCACCATCGTGTCTCTGTGCCACGCAGCTGGTAAACGAGGAAGGCAAAGAAAGACAAAAAAAACAAAACACATCAAAATTCCCACGATGCATTCCAACCCACCGCCTAGCTGTTTGAGCCCACACGGCATGGGCAAGACATACCAGAATCCGCGCGGCCCCCAAGCAGAATTCCCCCATTTTCCCACGCTGATGAGCCTTTGTGATCCCGATCAGACGGTTAAAGACAAATTCCAGAGGTTTGTTCAGTCCTGTCTTCCCGTGCGTGTCTCTCGTTCTCCATCCCAAGTCCGGCATAGGAGAGATGCCTATCTCAACGGAGTACAGGGATGCTTGTCTGGGAAGATGGGGGAGGGGGGTGGCGGTTGGGGAGAAATTCTCCAGCATTGCATATATGTGTTTTGAACTTCGACGTTCCTAGGTGTTCGGGGGCTGTCATGCCACGCCGCATTGCCCATCCCGTCGGATCCCAAGCAAGCAGCAGCAGCAGCAGCAACGATTTGAAGATCTCGATCTACTGTCTTTCTTTTCTTTCTTACCTTTCTGTCCTTGCTTCTCCTCGCGATTTTGTTTGGTCCTTTGAAACATGGACAAGAACCACCACAGCAACTAACTCTACTTGACCTCCTCGGCCCGAACATGGCATCCAATGCGTACGGATATGTCTCTATTTTCTGCCTCCTCTACCACCTCTTTACTTTTCCCCCTTCCGCTTTCTGTCTTCTACACACCCCGGAGACAAGGCCCCGTCTACCTCAAGCCTGCCTCTCCCGTTGGAATGGAACGAGGCGTAAATGGTAACCCGGATCGGTCCACCTGTTGTTGCCTGGGATATTGTGGACGCTGTCAAATAAAACGACGCAGGCCACTTACCCGCTCGCCGCTGGAATGTAAGTTGGAACATCCCACGCTCGTTGGTCGGTATACGCTAGATCGCTGCGCAAACGGTTTCCTTCCCACGAGGTCTGCGGGGGTGTGCGGTGTGGCTAGGGCGTATGAGCACATGGGCGTCTTTTGCTCTGGCTGATGGACTGTTTAAGTGGTCTTGAGGGCGGCTCAATTCGGTGGATGGTTTCGTCTTTCCATTAAGTCTATCTTGTAGCCCTTTGAGCCCCGCCTCCGGTGTTGGTACCTCTAATTATCCGTCTGTCCCAACCCAGAACTGTTGCGCCAGCCCCATACGCCAGTGGCTTTCATCATCGTAGCAAACCTGTGCAACATCAACAGCTCATCGCGATCGTTGAGAAACCGACGGCTGCCCCTTGACACGAGCTGAAGACTACTGCTGTTTCCAGAGTTCCTCCTTCTCTGTGCAGAGTCTTGCCATCTCATACTGCTCGTCCGTTTGACAGACCAGTGTACGACACTTGGCTCTGTTCTTACCGACTTCCTGCACCGTATCGACAATCTTCCTGCTGTTGAGCTCGTCGTCGATGGTGAAGCCAAGGCAGATACACTGTTCTACGACGCGTTTCCGTAGCTTATCGCTCTTCTCGCCGATGCCACCGGCAAAGACCAATGCATCCACATCGCCATGAAGGGCGACAAAGTAGGAGCCGATGAAGGCGCATATCCTGTCAACAAAAATTTCGAACGCGAGTCTGTGCGTAGGCTCGTCCGAAGAAGCAATGACACCGAAGTTGGTCGTTCCTGTCAGGGCCTTCCATCCGCTTTGTTTGTTGAGAATTTCTTCAGCCTCGGTAAGATGCAACTTTGACGTTGAATTAGGGGAGAGCTTTCCGACGTCACTCGCGTAGTGAAAGACGAGACTGTGCGCGCACACAAGTTAGCTAGCTGCTAAACACGCGCAACGAACGTTGGCTACGATTTACCTCGGATCTACATTCCCGCTTCTCGTAGCCCCGGGCAAGCCGGCAACGGGCGTCAATCCCATGCTTGTATCCCAACTCTGGCCGTTTCGGATGGCGCAAGCGCTTGCACCACTCCCCAGATGAAGAGCGATGATGTTCAAGTCTTTGGTCTCCTTACCGAGGAACTCGGCGACGGACCGAGTGATAAAGGAGTAGCTGACGCCATGAAATCCGAACTTTCTGAGGTGGTTCTTTTTAGCTATTTCTTGGTTGATGGGGTACGTGCGGACGTGATCGGGGATGGTGGAGTGGAACTGTGTGTCAAAGCATGCAACGTTGACAGCGTCGGGCAGCTGCTCCACGCAAGAGTTTACGATATCAAGGGCCGGGCCGTTGTGCAGCGGGGCAAGGTCGCTGAGCTCCTCTAGGTGATGATATGTATCCTGGGTGATAACTTGGGAGCACGGATAGTCGCCTCCATGCACGATGCGGTGACATGTCAAGGCAATATCGGCCTTTTGCTTGATCTCGGGCAATTCTGCGTCATCAATCAGGGTCTTTAGAAGCACCCTGAAAGCATCATCTTGTGTAGACACCTTATCCTCCAGATCCTCGTTCTTCTTGACTTCAACGCCGCCGCGGGTGTACGATACCTGAGCCGGTGGAGCCGTCAGACCACTGATAGATGTCTCTGCAATCTGGCGGGGTGACTGCTTTGGCTCGGCTGAGTACACCGAGATTTTGACAGAGCTTGAACCCGCGTTAATGGCAAGGATAACCCTCATCGTGGATAGGATCTGGATGTGCAGTGGTGGTCTGCAGTAAGAACGGAGAGTTCGTCTCGAATGCCTTTTAAAACCGAGAATCGGCAGCAGGATGTGGTCGATCGGCGTGTTATGCAACCCACAGTTGGGTCCGTTGGCTCGGTCGATGAAAAATGAATCGACCACCTGATGGTGGTGTCTCGTATTAGACAATTGAGAATCAATGTGTTGAATTTAGGACGCAGTTGGACGAGACAGGTCAAGATACGACGAGCTGAATTGGGCGAGATCGTAAGCTTTTAAGAAGGGCATCATCAGTAGACGTCGGCGGTGGAATGGTCAAGAGCCGAAGTGGGCGGTGTTGCCCTGGGCACCATGATCTGAGGTTCTTCTCGCTGCAAACGCCCGCCTTGGCCGGGTGTGGTGACGTTCCATGGTGCTATTGGACTTCTGGGGGCGGGGGTCTGCTGGGAGCTGGCAGCTACGGAACCCCGCGCCGTGCCTTGTCACCCCACCAGATAGCGCAGAAGTGGAGGCTCTGTGGGGCCTGTCAAACCTGTCAACGCCCGGACCCGGGAACCCAAAGCGGCGCCTTCTCGCCATGCAAATAACACACCACTTTTTGGAGTTGCCTGATGCAATACACCAAGCCCAGTTGCGAGCTCTTGCGTGGAACCATAGCCCACCATCGCGCACTCCGTTGTGATGTCGATATTCCGCGAGCTGGGTGTCGATCAGGATTCGTTCCATCAGAATCCTGTGCAGCGTTACACCTCATAGGTATCTTCCCTTCTTGTGGATGACGGAAGTTGCAGAATAAGCCAGGTCAAACCCGAAGAGACGAGTCAGTCAATGGCAGCCCGACTCCTCTTATCCACTCGTTGTTCTGTGGCCTGAAACGGCTGCAGTTGAAGCTTGTCGTCGATCGAGGAGCCGTTCAAGCAGCCGAGTCAGACTCATAAGGATCTGGGGGCTCCACCACTGGCTCCAAGCCTCGAGAGATATCAGGGGACGGCAGTTCAGACATTTCTCCAGGAAGCATTTCCGGCGATGGCAGCTCAACATGGTGGGCAGGAAAAGGTATGCCGTGAAACTCGCTGTCGGAGCTGTGCGCTACGACCCAACTCTCCAAAAACCGAAGGTAATCTATTCCGTGTAAGTCAAATGTCCATATCCCTTTTCAAGGTGGGGTAGCAAGGGTGTGATAATTTCGCAACGAGGCGCTCAATGCCTGCTAAGAAGTGGTTCGCCATACCTTCACGTTTACTGAACTGTACGCCTATATAGCGAATATTCAGTGTGCCCGACGGTGCTCCGTCAGAAGTCGATGGGCCCCCTTGAGAACCGGAACGCACGCGGGGACGCATTCGTTGTGCCAGGTTGAAGCGTGAGCGGGAACTGCTGTTATCGGGAGCGCTGCTGCGTCGACTTCCGCGAACTGTCAAGCGGACCTGGCGGTGTCGATCGTCGCGGTTACGCAGTTCGCCCTCAAAATTGTGGATTTCGTATTCTCGATATTGCCGGCCACTCGCACGATTTGCAAGAACGGTCAGCGAGTGGTAAGTCGAGTATCGGTCCCTCCAGAGTTTGAGCCTCTGTACCAATCCCATGCCCCTAATATTACCAAAGCCGTCCGTTCTTCCGTGCTGATCGGACCAGACGACGTCAACATCGTAGTAATCAACCAAGTCTTTCCGACGAATATCTCCCTGGAAGCGTATAGAGCTCTCCACGGTGGTGAACTCGTACTTGACCTCGGTGAGGTGGTCATGAACCACCACACCTTCGCCGGTAGTGTATCTGACTCTATGTGGCTCGCGAAAGCTGACAAAAAGCTCGAGTTCGCAAGAATCTGTGTATGGACGATGACGGGCGTGCAAGGTATGAGGAAAGATGTCGGCGGGCACGTCGGACGGAACTAAACTATGGTCAGAATGATGGCCCCTGGCTCGGATGATTGATGCGGGGG